CCGACACTTGAAGTAAACAAACTCTGATGTACAGATGATAAGGAGATTTATTGCTGCTTTATATTAGTGAATTACCGTGTGGTGTGACAGTCAGCTTATGTGGGCTATATGAGAGTAGGAATAAACTATATGAATATATATTAATCAACTAACGCTAAAATAAAAGGCGTATGTGTGTTTGTGTATGTGTATGTATGAATTTATGCTTGTGTTTACATTTCTGTGTATGTTTTGTCAATATATGAACGTCATGTATCTTAACCATATAATAATAATAATAATAATAATAATAATAATAATAATAATAATAATAATAATAATAATAATGAATAAATTTTCTTAAGACGATAAATTTGAGAAATACTTTATGTTCAGCTCTAAAAAACATAAGGAAATATTCACCCAAATTCCTAAAAGTCAAATTTTTCCCCACATTTGTCGGATAACATTTAACCTCATCACTTTATCTCCTGTATAACGAGGGAAGAGAAAATGGAGGATAAACGGTTCTGAGACTCGACTATAACTAATATTTTGGTCCTAAACTTCACTTACGAGAAAAAAAGGAAAGATAATTTATGAATCTTTGAGAATGAGGACGCTGTTGAGGTGTGTGTGTGTGTGTGTGTGTGTGTGTGTGTGTGTGTGTGTGTGTGTGTGTGTGAACCCTTGGGGGATGTTTAGTGATCTAGATAAGCTAAATAAGTCGCTATCGCCACACATCAGCGGGAGCTTGTGATCACTAGCTGCTGCCCGCCTCCTCTTCCTCCTCCCCCTCTTCCTCTTCCTCTTCCTCCTCCTCCTCGTCTTCCTCCCCCTCTTCCATTACTCATCAATGCTTCAGTCATCACCACTAACTGTACTCAACGAACTATCATCACCCACAAATCACCATTCGTCACCACTTACCACCACTAACAACCACCCATTACCATCACCGCTGTTCACTACCACCACCACCAACAACAACAACTACTAACTCCATCAACCACCATTCACTCTCACCACCAACCTTCCACCACAACCCTCCCCTACTACAACCCAACACAACCACAGTACCCACAACCACCTCTACTGTATGTGCGTGTTGTGTACCCTCGAGAACACAGTGTTTGGGTGACGACTGTTTTACCATCGGTGTGTAAGATTACCATGATCATTTTTATATCGGATGGATGGATGGATGGATGTGTGTATGTAAGACTTCCTGGCATGGAGTACAGGCTGCTCGTGCCCCCAGTGGTGTACCTGTTACTGTAGTTTAGTGTACAGGAGGCAACCGAGTCTTCTCCACCAAGCGGGAATTAAACCCCTCTCTCTCTCTCCACCACAAAAACTCATATGTAAGGAAGAATTAAGAAATATATCTGACAAACCTCTTAAGGAAACCGAGGATCTCAATAGTAATCCCTGAGGCACGCCAAGATGGACGGATAATCCTTGTGAGGAAATAAGTTGCCTTTCAAGTCATCCCAAAGACTTCTTGTTCTTCTAGATCACATCTTTGAGGACGAGCCAGAAATATATTAGTAGGAGGGGGGGGGAGGGGCTGCAATAAGCCTGGGGAAGTAGTGGAGGGAGGGAGGGGAGTGGAGGGGGGGGGTGCAACACGCCCCTCTTGTCCCACCTCAACACCCCCACACTCTCCCTGAGGACCCGCCCATCAAGGCCACAGGCTAATTCCTCTCACTGCCTTGTAAAAAAGAAGAGAAAGATACTTGAATCTATATGAGGTTTGTGTTGATCACGAGCTATTTTTAGTGAGATAAGCTGAGCGTACAACAGCAGCCGCTTTCTTCTAGCGATGGGCTTTCCCCGAGGAAGGTGGAGGAGGAAGAGAAGAAGAATGAAGAGCACAATGTTTACATCCTAACGAGGCGGAAACAAGAAGAAGGATGCTTAATAAGAGGTGATTTATCCTGGTGTTGGATTTTCCTCGACATGCCAATAGGAAGAATTAGTGTAACATAATGGTATTTTAAAGAGTCAGGATAACAAAGGTTTTGGAAAGAATGTAAAGAACGTCTCCAAGAACAAGACTCTGGACGTTAGGATTAATAACCCCTACACCATTGTCTAGTAAACACAGACTGGTGAAGGTATACAGTCGTAAACAAGTGAATATTTCAGTTCAGTAAGTTGACACAAGTTGGCCCACTCCCTTCCCGTACTCCAAACAGGTGTCCCCGTCCACTCATCCAAATTACCCTACCTGTGGCCCTTCAAGCAGATGGTTCCCTGTGGCCCGACAAGTAGATGGCTCCCTGTGGCCCTACAAGCAGATGGCTCCCTGTGGCCCTACAAGCAGATGGCTCCCTGTGGCCCTACAAGCAGCTGCCCTCTTCCCCCACGACTTTCTCAACCCTCCTGTACGTCCTTCACTACGGCAGCGGTGCGACACAGGACGTGGTTATGAAGGCGAGGCTCTGTGTCTCGTATTGTGAGTCAGAGAACACTAGTTGTTGTATTTCATGATGTGCAGGGTGCGCCTCTCGCCCACTGAACCGCCTGCAGGAGAGGAGGTGGGGGCTGGAGGTAGGGGGTGTGAGAGAGGAGGAGGGGGCTGAGGGAGGAAGGAGGAAGGTTGTGAGGACCTGAGGTAGGGAGAGAGAATGGAGGAGGGGGAGGGAGGGGAGGATGGAGAGAAGAAAGGGAGGAGGGAGGATGGGAGAGAGAGAGAGAGAGAGAGAGGGAGTAGAAAAGAAAAGGGGATCGATATCTTAACAAAAAGAAACTAAAGTGAAAGAAATGAGACAGAAAGGAAGAGGGAAAACAAAGAGAAGAAGGATTTGTGTTAGTGCATTAGTCTGAAGGAGGGAGGCACTGGGAGACCAAGTGATGTGATGGCGTTCTTGAATCCACCAACAAAAAGAAATACAACGAAAACGAAAGAAAATCAACAAATGAGAAAACTAAACGAAGACGAAAATAAAGAGAGAGAGAGAGAGAGAGAGAGAGAGAGAGAGAGAGAGAGAGAACTATGAAGTGTATGATACATTAAGATAAACATTTGAACGAGAAGTGTAGGGATTATTTGGTTAAAATTACGTACCACATGAAAAAAAAAATCCATTAAGCTATTTACCGAAAAAGGTTTTAATTGAGGGGGAAAAATGGAAATATTCTCAGTGAAAGAAAAAAAAAATTAACTCCATAATAATAACCTGCTCTTGAGATATTAATACCGAGAGACGTAGGAAATTCTCTTTTCGGAATTCAGGATAAGTTTTACGGAGTATTTCGTTATATTTTCCTGGAATATCACCTACCAGGAAAATTACTCCTCGCTGTGTAAGATGAGTTAATTTTTACGTAGGATAAACAGTGCTTCATTATGTTTTGTTGTAGAGTGTTGTGTTTCGTCTCACCGTTATAGTGTTGCGTAGTCATTCTTGTGTTGCGCGCCATTGTTCCATCCCTTCTCATTATATTGTTGTCTGTTATTATGGTGTTGTGCTTCATTATAATTCCATTATTTGTCGTTACTATTTCGCGTCACACTATAATTCACGTCACATTATATTTCGCGCCGATACAAGACTTAAAGGCATCGCTATGAGACCTTCCTTGTGGTGCTTGTTGGGTATGATGGCGCTGCTCCCTGTCACTGCAATGCCTCCGTGGCACTCCTGGCATGCACGCTCTAGGCACTCAGGAAAGGTCAAAGGTCAATAACGCATGAGGGTAAGGGGGGCATTGGGGTCACTCTCTCAACTGATCCATCACTCTCTGCGAACAGTGCCTGGCGAACGTCTCTCACTCCACTGTGGGAACCCTTTTATTAGGTAGGTTAGGCGTAGGTTCGTCAGGCGGTAGGAATGCTGTGTTATGGTGAGAGAGAGAGAGAGAGAGAGAGAGAGAGAGAGAGAGAGAGAGAGAGAGAGCATTCTTGCCTTGACTAATTTCCCAGAGGAGCGGTGGTCAAGCTCTTGTGTTAATTGGAGGGTCGTCTACCAGGGTGAGTAAGGTATATGTAGAGCCTCCGACGTGTGGCGCCCCGTCAGCTGCTGTATCAGGTGTCGCGAGGGGCGGGGAGAGGAGGGGCTGGGAGAGGAAAAGTGAAGAGGTGGGTGGGTGGGCGAGAAGGAGGTGGGGATAACAGGAGGTAGGGAGGTCAACGAAGACGGGAAGAGGAAGCAAAAGACTTAACATGTTCAAGGGACGAAAAAAAAAGGCAAAAAAAAGAGAGAATTAAGATGGCTAAAAAGAGGAGGAGGAGGGGGTTAACAAGAAGGAGGAAGAAGAGGAGAAAGAAAGAAGAAGAATAAGAGGAGGTGAAGAACAAGCTGGACCTCCCCCTGTTCTCGAGGGAGGTATAAGGTCATCTTTCCAGTATTACTTGACATGACTTACCAACAACTAAACCTTGTTCTCAACGCCTGGCCAAAAGCATCTCTCATAACATAAAACATCCTCACTACACCTAATCTACAGCCTCCGTATAGTAACAACCTCCGTCTTGGCGTGAGTTGTGGCACCAAGGATCGATTCCAAGGACGGGGAGGAGACGTGGAATATATTCTTACCTCTGGAGACCAAGGAGTAAAAGATAACTTAGCTATTTAAGATACTAACCTGGACAAGACTTAACGTTTATTAAATACAGTTAAAGGAACGTGGGCTATAAATGGGATTCTTGTAGGAAGAGGCAACACATGCTTAAACCTTACTAGTACGTGGGAATGGTAGGAATAGAAGACAAACAGGGAAGAATGAAAAAAGAAGAAGAAAATAAAAGTAAATCGATACGACTGTTTCTAAAATGAACAAGAGAAAAATTATGTATCTCTAAGGAACATAAATTACACAAACTACATAAATCATTGTTCTCTTTGGTTAAATTTTACAGAACTTATTTTAAAGCTCATTAAGACAACACCTGTTCTGTAATACCATAAAGTAATTCAGAATTTCCTTTGTAATCCTTTCAGTAAGATTCAATCCATGTTTCTGTGGTCTTGACAATCGGTCCTGATCACCACAAAACTCTCCACCTGCAGCTGTGTGCGATGGTGTTGATCGTCCTGTACGGCACCGTGGCAGTCACCCTGGAGGAACACCTGAGGACATGTAGGCAGGATCCTAACAGCGAAGACAACGGCGTCCTACCACCCTGCACTGACATGATGAATCCTACTGTAGTCCTTGGAGGTGAGTTGGAAAGTGGGGGGGGGAGTTAGAAGGGGGGAGTGGGAGAGGAGGGGGAACAGAGAGGGGAAGGAGTTAGAAGGGGGAGTGGGGGAGGAGGGGGAAGGGAGGGGGAAATGAGAGGTAAGGGAGGGGGTAAATAAAACCTTATAAGCTCACACACTAAACATACATACATACATACATACATACATACATACATACATACATACATACCTGTGCATAATGATGTGTGTCTACCTTTCCAGTTCGGATCTTCCTGTACATTCAGGTGAGCGTGTGGGTTCTCTTCCTCGTCTTCTCCATCATTCTCATCATCGGGGCCGTCAAGGTCAGTACATCTCACGTCTCTCTCTCTGTTAGGTTAGGTTAGCTTTAGTTAGGTATACCGAGTCATTATTTAACTTTATTTATTTACATTTTGTTCAAGGCGACGGAACAAGTACTAGAAGAAGACGGAGTTTATAGTCGAGTCTCTGTCTAAATTTGACGCCTTTTTACAGATAATTAAGATGTGGGTGGGACAATATCTTAAGATTATGGCTATATATCAGTTGAAGGTTAAAGAGGTGGAGAGCTTTACTTACAACAGAGTGAGTGTGTGTGTGTGTGTGAGTGAGTGTGTGTGAGTGTGTGTGTGTTAGTGTGTGAGAGTGAGTGTGTGTTAGTGTGTGAGAGTGAGTGTGTGTTAGTGTGTGTGTGTGTGTGTGAGTGAGGTATGTTAACTATACTACAACGCTCTAAACAACTAGTGGAATATACTCACCAATAAACCATCTTTGTTGGCACAGAAGCGTAGAAGCCTGCTGGTGCCGTGGATGGTGCTGTCAGGAGTGGTGATGGCGGCTGTGATCTGGTCAGGTGTCAACGCTGTCCTCTATAACCGTAAGCTGGACCTCCTAGCCTCTGTACTGTCCCTCATTATCTTCAGTTACTGCTGCCTCGTCATCCGCTCATTCTCCAAAGCCATCAAGAGAGAAGCCTTGATACCAGTCCTTGTTCCCTCCACCTTCACACAGCCTCAGATGTTTTGCGAGAACAATCACACACAAGTCGGGGAGATGAGGGAGTTGCCCCCTGCCTATACTCCCAACCCAACCACGCCCACCAAGAAGTCACCCCTACCCACAGGTCTCGGGGTCAAGATATAATGATTCGGTGCCAGAGGCTGTGGTCGAGACTACATATTTTTTACACAATTGAGATATTTTTGATGAAGAAACGTTTATATTGCCCTGTGTATATATACTCTCTGGTGAATCTTAAGTACGTGGACTATAAAGTGGTCCCTGGAATTGATGGGAACAAGCGGTGTTATTTTAGGTTTACGTGTGTTAGTATTTTTAAGTTGTTAAGGCAGGTGGTGTTGGTCGTTATCCCCCGGGAGAGACTGAGGCATGCTGGAGGCTGCTCAGGGACTCAATTTTGGTAAACAATCTCATTAAAACACAGAGCCAATTAATAAATGGCCTTCTTGGTGTGAGTAATCATTGCGTACCTAACATGGGAACAAGATGTATGAAAACTAAAATCAGAAAAAAATAAATTTAGTGTTTTGATTCGGTGACGAGTTAACACACAGGTAGTAGTGGAGGATGAGTGTCTTAGAGCTCGTTTATTAACACAGGTGAGTGAGGGACTACAGGTGAAGGGCATCTGGGGCTCCAAGTGAGAGGTATTTGGGGCTACAGGTGAGGGTATTCAGGGCTGTAGGGACCCAGAAACACATCAGACAAAAATAACATTATATACCGTAAACTCACTAAAAGGTTATAGATTATATTGAGTGTTTTGGAGGTACTGTAACAGAACCAGTTAGTGGAGGTTCACACACACACAACATGGTATCAGTTTAGAAACTTTGCTGTTGACCTCTTGAGCAGATCAGCTTCTCTCCCCTCTAGCGTCGGGTGATGGTGGCAATGTCTTAAGCGAAGCACAAGGTGTCAGTTTCTCATATGATTTCATGTTTTACTTTTAATTGCTCGCTTGACTGTACTGTTGTGAGGGGATGAATGCCATACGTTGTAATTAATCACCTATGAACACGTCTATATTGTGTGATTTTTTTTTAATATATAAATAAATAAATAATTATTATCATTCCTTTAAAAAGACTTGTATAGGGGAATTAATCTTTTATTATTATAGATATAAAAGGTGTTTTTTTTAATGTCTAATTTCGACACCAAATGAATAGTTTGAGATCGAGTCGAAATGTTTTTTGCAATAATTCCTTTCATAATACTAACAAGATAAGGTTTCAGGATCAATTCACTGAGACTCACTCATCCATGTTCCTTCCAGATGGTTTGTATGTCCCTGTGTATGTGTTCCATTGTACCTCAAAACAAACACACACACACACACACACACACACACGCACTCTCTCTCTCACACACACACACACACGAGGAACCAATCTGGACATAATTGTATATATTGTCATTAAAACTAATTCCTGTATTGTTGGTGGTATTATTATTATGACCGTCATGAGAAAAGTGTGTGTGTTTCTTTACGTCGTCTGAGATAAACATTGTACCTAATCAGAGAAGATACTGATGTCTTCTTTACATTCACCTGTGGTAAGGTATGAAGGAACACCTGTAGATTCAACCCAAACTTAATTTTATTTCACTTTAAACTAACCTAACCAAACCTAAAGCAATTTACTGTAAACAGACAAATCTAACCTAAACTTAACTTATCTAACCAAACGAAACGAAACGAAACCAAACCAAACCAAACCAAACCAAACCAAACCAAACCAAACCAAACCAAACCAAACCAAACCAAACCAAACCAAACCAAACCAAACCAAACCAAACTAAACCAAACCAAACCAAAGATCAAATCCTTCACATAGCTGACACTCTACGGGCAAGAAATAAATAAACAGCAAAGTAAAGATACACAAATAAAACACAGGAAAGTCTGAGGATAATAATGACATCTGAAACCACTTGGTCACTTGTTCCTGTTCTTGCCCGGAGTGTCTAATATTAAAGTTACCTCTCTACAATACTCACAGATTCTTGTTCATTTAACGTAACACACAGGGAGGTAGAGACCACAGGGAGGTAGAGGCCACAGGGAGGTAGAGGCCACAGGGAGGTAGAGGCCACAGGGAGGTAGAGGCCAAACAAGACTACACTAAACTTAGGTAAAATATATTGTGTTTATTTCATCATATTACAGTTACATGGACTTCCCCCCCCCTCAAAAAATAATGATTACAAACATCGATATACAGTAAACATTGAAGCCAGCCCCAAAAAAAACTGTGTCTAGGTGTAATCTGTGGGTGCCATAGTTATAACTTATGTTCCGGGAGTGCCATCCATTCTTCTCTAGTTCCTGCCACTGTCAGTTGTATATCTTTTGTAATCTGATCTTACACTTTTTTTCATGGTATATACTTTTCAATAATGATAATACACAATTTGTTTTAATGCCACATACTTCTCTAATGCCAAACACCTTTTCTCTAGTCACACTCTTCTCCAATATCAACACAGATTAACACTTCTTTTAGTTGCAGATACATCAAGGTCACACATTGTTTCTTGTAGACAACACCATGTAGTGAGTTACCCCCCCCACACACAAAACAACTTATGTCTCCCCTACTCAAATCATCACCCAGACACTTCAGTAGGTAAGGAGCCGAACACCACTTAGAAGGCAGTTGTGGCTGGTGATGGAGGAGGAGAGGGGAAGGTAGACCCAGAATAGTGGTGGAGACATAGTATCGTTGTTGACATGTACAGGAGTTCGGTGTACTGTGGGAGGAGAAGAGGGTTTGAGTGAAGTTAATAATGTTAAGTTTGAAATGTTTAACAAGAAGCCTCACTTAAAATATTTAAATACGCTTCAAATGTTAAAAAAAACTAAAACATTTATACAAGCTTCAAATGGTTAAACAAGCTTAAAACGTTTAAAAAGAAACTTCGAATATTGCTTCATAGTTTAAAAAAGCTTCAAAAGTTAAAATTGATTCCAACGTTTAAAAATCTAAAAGTTTTAAAAAGCTTGAAATATATGAAAAGCTTCAGACGTTTAAAAAGAAGCTTCAGATATTCATAAAGCCCAAAACTTCATGAAAGTTGCTTGAAATGGTTAAAAAGCTTCAAATGTACTCAATATACACCCCCACTATCCCCAGCTTATCGTTGTTATAAAGCTTTTTCACTACTATCTTCAACTTCCCTTTACAGATTCTCACTTACGATGATCTAACCACTATTCCATAACCTCTCTTTAACTACTGCTGTATCCGGAGGTAAACTTTCATAACAATAAACTTTACTAATACACCTGTAATTACCTTTGGCAGGTGTCCTCTATACACAGGTTAATAGGTAGTCAATGATAGTAGGCATTCTTTATAAGCTACTCTCGTGTGTGTGTGTGTGTGTGTGTGTGTGTGTGTGTGTGTGTGTGTGTGCTTCATTTATTTATTTATTACTATCAAGGTACTATTAACTAATGCGTAAAAGTTCACCTAAATTTGAGCAAAGTGATAAAATTTGGTTGTAGATATATACGCATTCTGCTTGTTAAAAAATGTATCACCAGTTGTCTTTATATAAGTGGTTCTCAGTCTATAGTTACTTAATAAGATGGGAAAGTGTCAAGTACTGTCAGCCCTTACCTCTGTAGGACTTCTTCAGCATCTTCTTGACGAGGGGAGTGTACTGCATGACGCTCAGGTCGAGGGAGGTGGAGGTAGAGATGCATGCTCCCAGCTGCTCCGTCATGACCTCCTCAGCAGCAGGGTCCCACAGCGCCCCTCGCAGCACCAGCTTCTCCAGGACCAGCGTGGGACTCTCGTCATCCTCACTCGCTTCTTTTCCCTCAACTTCACCTCCTTTAGTAGCCAAGGCGGCACACAGCGTCTTGGTGGCCACGACAACCTCCAGCCCAGCCGACCGGAGTTCCCCCCAGCAGCTGCCAGTGACAGCCGCCCACATCGCCGCCGGCTCTCTCAACAGTCCCAGCCGGACGGTCCGCGGTGACTCAGATCGACTGGCCAGATTGAAGAGAAACTCTCCCCTTGCTTTAAGTCTGTCTAACTTGGCCTCGATCGCACGTATTTCATCGTCCTCGGGTGCGATATCTAGGTCTGGGACGCTGTTATTAAGTACCTCTAATAAGGAGTTTAGATCCTCACTGACTTTCAGCTTGACGGCCACATATTCCGCGGCCTTTGTATACTCGTCAATCTCCTGCTTCAGTATAGACTGGAGGGAACCTTTGATCTTCATGTTCTGTATCTTCTTGTCTCTCTTAACACTGAACCTTTGTGACCAGTTCATGTCCTGGATTGCCTGGCATGATTCTGGGTCTTCATTGATAGTCTTCAGACAAATGTTAATGTCCTTGGCTTCATCTCTCTGGTTCTGTAGGATGATCATCGGTGCCACGCCGGTGAGGGAGACGTCCTGCGCCAGGTAGATGAACTCCATCTGGGCCAGGTGGTCCTCCAGGCTGGTGGTTTTGGGTACAGTGAAGTGAGTAAGAGCCGAGACTCTGCCAGGAACATTCTGTATGGCGTCAGGAGAAAGGTAAACAAGCAGGAGCTGAGAGAGGACACTCTGGCTCTCTTCTGTCAGCGCTCCTGAGACGTAGATATCAGAGAGCTGAGATGTGAGAGATGGGAGGATGCTGCTGTTTGGCGAAACACTCCCTGTCAACAAAGTTCTCAGGACATTCTCCGCCTCCTCCCACTGAGAATCTCCCAGAGTCTGTGCCAGAGGAGTGCTGTTGTTCGCAAGAGTCTGCCTCGTCACGAACGCTGTATGGAACAGAGCAAGACTCAGGAGGCACCACTTGCTCCACTCGTTGTTATAAGAGGCCAGCCGACTCTCGCCGACCAACTCAAACAGGTGCCGAAGACAATCCCTAATTGTTGTCGGCAAACTAAGATAGACTTTATGACAAGAGGTCATCAGGCTAACAGGTAGCTCATCATCACTGTCAAAATACATCCATACCTGAAATCTTTTATGGGCTGACTTCATCACGTCATCCTTAAGAAGTTTGTTCAGGTGGTTAATACAGGAGACTGTGTGTGTGTTCTTCTTCAGAAGGAGCCAGTAACCCTTCTGGAGACAACGATGTAAGCGTAAACTGAGACCCTCCTCTCTGCCTTGACCAAGAGCCAACACGTCGAGAGACTCCGGGTCAGATGACATCATCGGGTGACACAGAGGCTGGACCTGCTGCAGGATGTACTCCACGTCCAGCGGCGCCGAGCTGTAGAGGATGATGGGCTCTGAGGCGATACCTTTACTTGCTACAGAGAGAAGAGCTTTGGCTGTTGCCTCACTTGCCTCTTGCTTCAGAACCCGTTGTACGTACATCATAGCTGCTTCATCAAGACGATCTGATCTAAGGCAGTTAATAAGGATGAGCTTAGCCACACCTCGTATCTTCCTTTCCATTACCTTAGGCAGTGTTCCTGTCTCCGGCTGCTCAGTGATGTACCACACCCGCCACAATTTATCGTGCGTGATCATGTGGTCCGCCAGTTCACGGAAAGGTTCAATGGTTGACAGAGCCAACACCTGAGCCCATTGTCTCTCGGTGAGCCAATTAGGACGTGAGTTAGTGGGCAGCTCTGGTTTTAAAGGTTCTAATTGGCTGTTGAAGGAATTTTTTTTGAGGTGAGGCCGGAGATCTACAGGAGCATATGGAGGGCCAGTCTGTGATATTAAGGGAGTGTAGAGGAGGGAACAGAACTGGGGAGTTATCAGCCCGATGTGACACTCGTACCACATAGCCAGGATAAGTCCCACCGTCACCAGCGATATTGTGCTCACCTGCTCCTGGAAGTGTCTGCAGGAGGAAGGTAAATATTAGCACCATCAACACGACTACAGTAGTGACGTAATGTAAAACTGCAACTCATAACAAGGATGATTAATGTGCACAAAGTAAAGAAAATAGAATCAATGAAGGAACATATCTGTTTAGAATAATTCGCATCTTACTTCAGTATGACCAACTCGTCCACAATTTATATTTTGTAAACAGATAATGACAAAAAAAGTTTATGACAGTCAAGAGATTATAAAAACAATATGATCATGTTATATAATCACCAAAATACAATAATATCATCACTAATTTAAACTGTTACGAATATAAAGAGAAACCAAAATAAACTACTGTATGCATAATGAACATGCTAATGTATTTATAGACAGTGTATGTATAATGTGCGTCGTGTGAGTCAAGAGCGTCGATTGCGTCAAGTGCGTCATGTCCGTCATGCGTCATTGTGGCTGGTGAGGCGACTGACCTGAAGAGTGACTGCAACATCTTGATGACGACATTGTTGGCCAACATGCTGCCCCACGAGGCGGCGAAACTCTGCGGCTGCATCTCACCGATGATGAGGCTACTGAAGCGGTGTATCCCCATGGTGAGGGACGGCTGCAGGCGGGGGAAACGCTCCACCATCAGGTACAGACGCGTCATGAGATATGCTACTTTCCTGTAAGTGTTGTTACCTTCCTTGGCCACTTCGACTGTCCTGCGAAGGTCGTGACATTTTTTCTTGGCTTCTGATGCCTTAGCACACGCGGCCTGAAGCAGCTCCATCAAGGTGCTCTCCTCCAGAACATCGTCATCAAAGCGGGACATGAGACTTCTGATCGTTTCTTCTTGTTCCGCGAGTTGCTTCTGTCGGTCGAGTAAGTCCCATTCACTTTTCTTCAGCACCTCCAACAAGTCTGGCTGACAGTGAAAGGATATCCTCGCCACCAGGAGCACCCCTAAACCCTCCTGCTGACTCTCTATGTTCACCACGTTGACTAAAGTTTTGATGTTGTTGCTGATCTCAGTTTCTCGAGTCTTCAATAATATTATAAGTTTAAAGTTATCGTGAAGATCTATCTCCTTCTCCCCAACTTTGACAAGAGTTTTGTTGACGTCATCTGTTTGTATTCGCTCCATCTCGAGAATCTGGAGGATGTGGACAGGCAGTGAGAGCTCCTCTTGTCTCACAACACACGTCAGACCTTCTGTCATAATCTTCTCAAGTTGGTCCAAATAATCACAACTTTTAAGGTCAATCTCGACGGCACCTTTCCAGTTACGGATCCAGTCCTCGAGTATGCAGTGCGGGTCAAGGATCAGCTGAGAGAGGCTCGAGTTGTAGATGATGGCAGCGTTCTCGAGGGAGAAAGTATCAATGGGCAAACCTTCCTCATGCCACCTGACCTGTAACTCAAGAGGGGCTAAAATATCCAAGACGTTTTTCTCCTTCGTATAAAAAATACACAATTCATCCATCTTCTCCTGCCAGTCCTTAACAACAACTTGTCTCTCTGTGTGAGTAAACACTCCTACATACGTCACATAAGCTGCGGCCAACACAGCATCACCATAAAGGTTACGAAGCTTGACGCTACTGTGGGACAGAGCTTCTTCCCAGTGAATCTTGTCCTCCCCCAGCTGCGTCATTACCTTCTGGGCCAGCTGTATCCGCCCTTCCAACACCTTCATCTCTTCTTCAGCAGCTTCTAGTTGTTGTTCCTTCTCCTTCAGTTGTGCCATAAGCATTTGATGCTCAATGCCAAAGCCAGCCAAGTCTTCCTCGTATTGCTTAATGGCGTCCTCTGTTGCTTCGACGTCCCTGGCGATGATGTCCGCCTGCACCTTCAGTGGGTGATAGTCCTTGTACACTCTCACGTACTTCTCAAAGGCGTGTAGCCAATTGAGAAAAGTTCCTGTTGTAGAAGATTCTTCCGTAACTTTTTCAACATTCAGTTCTTCCATCTTGAGATAAGACTGGATCCTGGCAAGAACTTTCTCGTTCGTGTCCTCGACGGAAATTTTTCGTATGGATGATATAAAGTTCAGTCCATTAGACATTTGCTTCTTTGCTTCATTCCATGACGGATCTAACCCAAGTGTCGTCAACACAGCATCGAACACTAACTCAAAACATTTTGGCGGCCTCCCAAGACTCTTCAAACTCTCGAACTCTGCTCTTGTAATACGATCTAACTTCCGATGAATTGCTTTCATTTCTAGTTTAGGTGCAGTGAGGTCACGGCTGATCAGTTCTCGTATCCTTGTCGACTCATCCTGCTGTCTCTTGAGGAGCACAGCATTCTTGGCGAGGTCCTGCTCCAGCCTTCCCTGCTCAGACTTGATGTTTCTCATCTTGAGGACAACACCACCACAAGACTGTTGGATGTACGTCACCTGTGCTCGCTGCTCCTCCAGTTGGTTAGATAATTCTGTCACTCGCTGTTGTGTTTCCTCAAACTTAACGATACTGATATTCAATTTTTCTTTTTCCTCAACTATATCAGTGAACATTTTGTTGTATATCTTTAGATACATTGTCAAAAATTCTAAAAATATTGCCGAGGGGTTGGAGCCGGTGTTACAGTGGATGCTGGCCATTATCTCTGCCACGGACTGTGCTTTTATTTCCGAGAGATTTTGGTCTAGTTTCTCTGACAGTATTTGTTTAGCGATATTCTGGAGGTCTGCCATACACCACTCCTGGAATGTATCAACACTATAAAAAGTTGATATTATGGGAATGTATTTGAGGATCTCGTGAGCTTCTTCGAGTGATGGAACAGATACTAAAATCCTGATGCTACTTTGTCTCTCACTATCCTTCTCAATATACTGCTGCTCGACTAGTAAGTCATCCAGAAACTTTAAATTACTTACATCTTCCACAACATTCCAGTCAATGATAACAAGAACTGGGGTACCCATTTTGAGATCACTGACAATATTCTTGGTCTGTGTCGTAGCTTCAACTTCCGTTCCAATAATATCATAAATCTTGTAATTGGCGACTGAGGAGGCAAGGCGAGCACACATTTTCTTCCCACAGCCTTCAGGACCCACAAGTAGAAGATGTCCTCCAATACTCTCAAGTGCTGTAGAAGGACTTTTATCACTCTCATGTTCTCTTACTGTAGTGCTATTATTTCCTAATATCCTCAACAGACGAACAGTGTGGTGAACAAGGCCGTCGTAGATTGCAAACATTCTATTGTTGCCAATGAGAGCCTTGCCAACCTTCTTCAGATGGGGTAAAATCTTCTCAATGTCTGTGTCCTCGTAGAAGTTGTCATCATTGCCAAGACGAGTCAATAGAAACATTCTTGGGTCAGTGCAGATGCTCTCAAGGTTAATACAGAGATATTCCGTCAATACTTCGTTCATTAAGTTATCAAAGTCATCCTGAGGTACAACACCGACGTCCTGGAACACTCTGTAACACTCGTGAGTTAAATGCTTCAGGAAGTTGTCTCGGTCTTGGGTTTCTTCGTCAGCCAGCTGGAGACCTTTTAGTACCGATACTATCTGACGGGGGTGGTGGATGATCGCCAGGTGGTCGCCACACGCCACCTGGCCGCTCTCACCCATACGCCGGTAAAGGTAAATAATTCCTTCAGCTACAACAGTCTTCAAGCACTTTACCTCCTGCTCGAAGTGGCCTAAAGTTTGATCATACAGTTGACTGAAGATGGCCTCCAGCTCTTCATTCTCAAAGTCAGGCATCGTGAGGGTATGGAAGGACTCTGACCAGTAGGTGTCAATGTGTTCAGTTATCTCTTGTGTTTTCTCCTGACCAAAGTTACAATCTATCTTTTGGAAAGTAAACATGTAACACAGCTCAGGAATCTTGAGAAATGATTTACTGTCATGACTGTATAATTTTCGATTATTTGCAGTGAACTTAACTGTTGCCAGAATTTCATGCAATTGCACGTCACCCTCGCTGCAGTGAAGATCATCTATTAATAAATGTAACTTTGGCTTTTTACAGGCAAGAACATCTTTGCCCTGTTTCATTAGACTCTTTTCAATTGCGTTTTGAATATCTTTGGGTCGAGTACAAGCTGTATGACTCAACACAGTCACTTCGCTGAAGGGATCAGAATTCTGTTGCAGAACATTGATGATGGCAGTCTTCCCTGATCCAGGAACACCTTTCAGAAGGACCGGGATACCTTCAGCCATTAACATTTGGGTCATGTGAGAGTACTTGATGATTCTGTCCGTTGGGATGATACTACACTCGATGACTGGCAGACGAAGCTGAAGTTCCTCAAACCTTGGCGCAAGTTTACTCCAGGAGGCGAAGTGTCCTGTGGTCACGTCAACGTAGTAGTCATAAATGCCTCCCTCTGGCACGTCCTCAATCATCCTGGTCACCACCTCCTCAAACTCTGCAGCTTCAGACGAGGAAATATTCGCCCCAAAAGACCAAATAATACTGAATATGAAAGCTGGTGTAAGTCTGGCTACCCAGTCCTCGGGGTCAGCGTTAACCAACTCGGTCTCCAGGAAGGATCTCATGATGGCCACAAACGCCTTAGCTTTCATTAGCATGTGAGGTTTGGTAATGGTCTCCGGGTTCATTATATTAATAAAATTTGGAAGGTTTCTCTTTATTAAGGTCTGAAGGGCTCGGGAGATTCTGTTATTTGTGATGGTGCTTCTCCAGCTCTGAATGACGTCCTCCCACAGCTTAGGTTGTGCTGGGAAGTACACGGCATAGCAAGAGGTTAACTCAGCTGGGGAGAGATGACTCACGTCTCCTGATATCTCAAAGATAATCTTCAAGTTATTAGGAAATGAAATTGATTGCCGATGACCAGTAAGGAAATTGTTTTTGGTGAAGTGTACATGAAGAAAGAAGTTCCTGAGCCAATTGTGTCCTTGAGGTCCTTCTAACACCAGCCAGCTCTCAGATGAGGGACTAGACTTATGAAGTTTCCTTAACAAGTGTGAAAGATATCCCTCACTAGTCTTAACCACCACCTCCTCGTTGGGCCCGTACAGTAAGTCATCATCAAGGATCAGGGGATTGAGGACCTCCACTTTGGTAACTTTACAGCTCACATTGCCTTCATAATTAAGTGTATTATAAGCTGCCTCTAATAACTTCAATGATGTAGATTTTCCTGAACCAGAAGTCCCGAATAATATTATCATTTGGTTCTTGGATATGGCGTCGTGCAGCTGAAGAATTTTCTCCACATAGTTGTCCTTCACAATATAATCGTTGTCTTTCATTTCATCCACCACAGCCTCCTTCAGGACCTCGTTAACGGGAGACGCAGCATCGAAGTCAGGGAACAGGAGCTCGAACACCTCTTTAAACACTGGCAGGTCATCATCCTTTAGCTGTGGTATTAAGTATTCTTTTAACGCTAAAGGAATGGTGTCTATTTCATCAATCTCAGGTTGTCTCTTCATGATGTCCTTGGCCAGAGTGATGATGATGAAGGCGCTCCTCGTACCCAGCTGCCAGCGGTAACGGCGAGGGAGGGCTGTTGACAAGCTCTCCACCGCCTGACTCACTTTCACTGCCAGGCTCTTACACTCCTTGAAGCCTTCCACCAGCATCACACACTCAGTAATCATCTGCAGGAGAATGTGTGTCTTATTATATGGTATTTAAAAGTTAACTCTTATTTAAGGCGGGTCGTATGTAAAGAAGACTTAATTTGATTTTAGTAAAGTAAGGAAAGGTTATGGTTTGATTTATGTTCAGTAAGTGATGTGTTTATTCTCATGACCCCTTTAATGTTCTTGTATAATTCTTTATTGATATCTCTACGTGGAAGATTAGGTTGTGTGGCGAGCACGTGTCAGGATATCTGTGTGTGTTTGCGTGTGTGTGGAGGCATAAATCTTATAACTATCATTTCAACTGTGACACCTGTGGCACTTTTAGAGTGACCAGTGCAATGAAAATGTCTCGATCACATTAGGCCTAAAAAATAATTCCTTATACTTGTTCTTCTGCAATTCTCAATGACCGCTGTTGGTTACTCTAAAATATATTCTCCAGTTGGTCACTTTACTTTTAATAAAAAAATAAAGATATTCGCAACATTCACCAACATGATACATAAAGAAAATACCACAGCATGAAGGACTGACTGTGTTAGGGATGTTAACATGACTGTCTGGAGTTTACCATTACCTGTAAATCCGGAGAGAACATGACGACAGGTTTACACTGTTGCCTGAAGATGTCCATGATCTGGAGGGAGGACTCGTGGCTGGGCTCCATCTCCAGCAGGACAGCAGCCAGGGGAGACACCGAGACCTTCACCCCCTCCAGGATCTTCGTTGGCGGCTGTTGTTGTTTACTGCCTCGGCCACCACCAGCCTTGACTCCTGTAGTTGTTGCTGCTCGCTGGGCATCTTGCAACGACCTCAACATCTCACCAAGAACGGGCACAACATCGAGGTTGAGACAGTGAGCCTCTTCAAGCAGCAGCCAACTGTGGGACTGACTGGTTCCTATGAGCGTCTGTGCCAGCTGTACAGTAGTGAGGGAAGCAGTGCAGGCCATTGTGACGAGGTGGCGACCTAGGAGATGAGCCATCGTCTTGACCGTGTCTGTTTTGCCACACCCATGAGCACCCAACACCCCAACAGCCACACCCTGAGACAGTACCCGCGCTAAGTTGTGGATGGAGCGAGAAGTGGATGGAGTAATTGCCGCAAAGGACCACAATCCTTGATACTCCCAAGAGTAGGACAAGTCGAAGGATCCGATCTGCAGCAACATATTGTCAGTGTCTTTCTCCCACGAGTATCGCAGTGGCATGTCGCTCTCACTTGTCAGACCTTTCCTACTCTCTGAAGCGAAGGTGAGGAAGTCTCTCATCTGCAGTACTGTGAGGTAAAACAGACGGATTTTCTCTCGTACAAGTTTAGATAAATTTCCCTGAAGACAACCGTCAAGTCGAGTCTGAGAGTCCCTCGCTTTCTTTTTAAATACTTGAAGTTGGTCAGAATTCAAATGACCTTTGAACTTAGCCAGAGCTCGACTTATCTCTACCGTCCAGTGCATCACGAAGGCGATGGCGGTGACTTGGAGAGGCCAGAGCTTCACGATGTCATCCACCTTCATCACTGCAGACTTCATACTGTTTCTACACTGCTTCACATTATCTTTAAGAGTCGTTTCTATGGCAGCTGAGAGATTCTTGAGCCAATTGTCAAAAGAACCAATAATAGGAATATAAGAATTGAGCTCCAGAAATTCTCCCTCTGAAGAATATACTCCAATGGCTTCTAGTCCTCCTATTTGGCTGTTCTTCTCTTGTTTTATTTTTGTAATGTTAGTAAACAACTTGGGCAGGAAGGGCTTGGCATGCTCGCCGTCCAACACAGTGGAGATGGTAGCAACAAGGTCATCGTCTGATAAAAGCCAAAATCGTGAATATTGTTCCTTTCGGTCCTGCAGATACGGCTTAACGTGAGTGGCCATACCGTTGAATTCTTCTGATATGAACTTGACTTCCTCTTGAAGGTCTTCCTGGAGGGCGAACACTTTAAGGAAGTGTTCTGACGTCATGAGTGTAGACAGCTTTCTCCAACGGTCGTTCAGGGAGTCAAAGATGGCCGTCGCCTGTACCAAGTGTAGCCTCACATCAGCCACGTGGAAGAAAGGCTCCCAGGTGGCCCATTTCTTCTGCAGCTCCTCCACATTCTCCAGAAACTCTATCATAGAGGAGAGCATAGAGCGGATGTCCTCGATGTCGTTAATGTATGGCTTAGCGTGATGTGAGGCGGCCAAGATCTGCAACCTCATGTTCAGCTCTGCGATGATCGAGTTGGCGTCTGACGTCGACTCGACCACAGACACACCCATGGAGGCGATGGGCTTAAGGCTGAGGCTGATCTGTGAGGCGAGGTTGTTGATGTCCTGGATGGCATTAACAATTTTGGTCTCCTCTGTTGAGTCTATTATGATGGCGCCCATCTCTTTTTTGTAAGATGTTAAATTCAGCTTCTGAAGGAAACCGAGAGTGAATTCCTCCGAATCCTTATCAAATTCCGTCTTGACGAGAGACTTAATTTGGCGCCAGTGATGGTCTCTAAGGTTAGCGTTTTGTAGGTTGAGTGTGAGAGGAACCAGAAGCTTGCACAACTCTACACGAGTTAAAATTTCTTCTTTTAATTCCCACTCACTCTCTCCCAGAGCAGCTCTGTTTTCTATTTTACCTCCAGCGAAGGCAGCAAAAGGCTGTATCGCTCTTATCTTGTGGCCATACACTGACAATGTCTCTTGCAGGGCCACAACACTAACTTCCCACACAACTATACCAGCCCAAGTGTCCCACGCCTTCTGCCACTCCTCCAGCAGCGACCACATTTTTTCCGCGGACACAAGATCATGTTGGAAGGCTGGCAGCTCCGGAAATTCAATCACTGACAACGAGAGAAGTTCCAGAGTTTCATTAATAACCAGTTTGTTCATAATATCTGACATCATTTCTTTTAGGTTTGCTATGTTCTCGTTCGCCTCTGGAATAGTTTTATCAAACCTGGTCGGCAACATTTGTCTGAACTGCAGCTTAAGATTCTCCACTTCTTCCATGACTATCTCTGAGCGGTCAGTGTAAGCCTTCCTGTACCTGTCAAGGGCTGAGTTAAGCTCCAGGATCTTGTTAGTTAATGAAGTTTCAACAGTATCCCACTCGCTCTCAAGCTGTGCGAGACTCGTATTTACATTTGAGGGAATTTTATACTGATATTTCTTCAACACCTCAAACTGCTCCCGTACGGGCTGGAACTCATTTCTGTATTTTGTTAGTTGTTGCCGTGATGAGTGACATTCCTCAGCAGAGGAGAGAAGAGAAGGAATATCTTGTGGGTCGCTTTTAAGTAAGCATTTTGTTTCCTTGCTATAATTATACAAAGACTCCAACTTGTCTGAGGCTATTTTGAAAAGGTTTCTCTCGAACTCAGATATCCAAGACTTACAGAGCTTAATAAGTTGCGTCTTCAGCTTTTCGGAATTTATATAGAATGTTCCCACCTTCAGGTGATCATCCACGTTCTCGATATCTCTCAGTTTTCTCTCAAAAGTCATTATATCCGTCTCGAACACATAGACGGACTTGGCATTCTTGAGGTAGTGTTCGAAAAACTCTTCTCTGTTTACCTCCCACAGGTCGCGGTATTGATGCCACTGCTCCAGTTTTTCTTTCAGGTCTTCCACTTGTGTCTGGAACTCTCCTGATAGTTTCATCTGCAGTTTATCACTAAGTTCGTCTTCCAGCAAAGGCAAATGTTCATGAGCTTTTGCTTTCTCAAGAGCAAATCGTCTCAGAAGACAAGGAATCTTGACCAGACTCTCAGAAAACTGAGTTCGAAGGGAAGTTACCACATTTAGCACACGGTTCACTGAAGGCTTACACACGATTCTTGAGTTCGTCAGACTAATGGAAAGTTTGAACACAGGTGAGAGCTGTTCTGATGGGCAGCTTCGAGAGCCCATCAACATTCCCTCAAACGACAATAATGACTTCCTCAGAATTTCTTTTTGACAGTCCATGAAAAGATGATCAATTCTTAATACATAATCCAGCCAAGCCTTCTGAGACTTGACGTTGGTTTTCTTTATAAGAGTTTTGTAAAGAGTGTCCAGAATGTCTTCCATTTTCAAGAATTGAGACTTTACGTTCTCAATGGTGGAGCCGAGTTGGTGAATGAGATCAATCTGGAACTCGTCGTTTTCATAAATAGTTTCATCGTCGTTGAGATATAGAGTGAGATTCTTAGTGCTCATGAGGATACTGGAGATATTCTGGTTCACCGTCAGGTACTGTGTCACTTGTTCCTGCACGGTGCTTACTATACCGTTACACCTGGCGAGGAGGGAGGTCGTCTGCTGCCGATGCATCCAGCTGATGGCAGAGAGACCAGGGAAAAACGTCTTCACTGTCGCCTGAATTTGTCCTTCAAACATCGCCGCCTCATCACGAGAGATCCTGGTCATGAAGCTGTTGAAGCCTTCAGCACACTCACGCACCTGTTGAAGCAGAGAAAATTTTCACTTAGTTGTACAGTCACCCAAAAAAGTCTTCTCTCCTCTCCTCCTGCACCACTAACCCGAAGATTCAGACTCGTGAACCTGAAACAGTACACAATGACGCATTATTCTTCCATAAATGCTTCGGATTCACGAGTCTGAATCTCGGGCTTCGTGGAGCATCATGCTAGACGAGAAGACTTTTGTGGGTGACTGTACATTATGTAAACATTCCATACTACGTGTACTTGTATGTATCGAGGCTCACAACTCTTACAACACACATATTTCGTTTGTTTTATTAATTCTCATCACTCAATACCTACATGTACCTTCTTATTCCCACGTAATAAAGTACTACAATAATAGTTCACTAAAGCACTGGAATAGATGTTTGAGGATCTGGTAAATTTAAGACCTTAATAATAACTAAATGGGAAACCTTACAAGATTTCTTGCATTTAATTGATCTATTTCACCTTAGATAGTTTCCCATGTTCGTCTTCTCTCTCCTTCATAACTTCAGTGTAATGCCTCACCTGCTTCTTCAGCTCCATGTAGACGCTGTTCTCCATAAAGATTGGGTTGATGCTCTCAGGGATTTCAAACGCCATGGCCTTCCACGCTGCCGCCTCCTCCAGGTTCTTATACAGCTGCCTGAACAACACACACAGTTCAGGTCTCAAGGAGAAAAGTAACGCTTAATCCAAAATAGTATCTAATTTATAAGACACACAAAGACAAACCATACACACACTCCCAGAGACACACTCACAAGATACACACTTCCAGACGCACTCCCACACACACTCACATATCAAAGTTGTCCTGAAGGGTCTGTACGGGTCCTGGCCTCCACCTAAAGATCGGTTCCATAAGACGTTTATAAGGGTTGGGTTCCAGTGAAGCATTCCAGGCGGCGTACATGTTTGAGACGACCCCCTTCAGTAGCGTCACCGTCCGTCCCCACCGCCTGTAGATGGAGTCGAGGCGAGGGTAGTACGGGAGCCATGACTGGTTCTTCAGGAGCTGAGAATGGAGGCAGGAATTCTTACATGTGTCTGTGTTTATTCCAAGAGCGATAAGGTCATGTTTATGTGATAATGTATTACTAAATTTTAACAACTTTGGTATTTAGTCGTGTATTGTAGGTTAATTAAATACTCATCAACAATAAGAGAAAATGAAAAAGACAAATCTGATCGCTTGAAAAATCTCGACCCTAATTTATTTCACCTAAGATTTACCACCATAACGCTAACCTAACCTAACCTAACCTAATCTAACCTAACCTCATCCCCCAAATAGTGTTAGGGTGGTTAATCTTTAGGTGAAGTAACCTGGGGTGGAGATTCTTCAGGTGATCTGAGATTCTACCATGTGTGTGTGTCGTTGTTACTTCACTAGTTCAATTCTCGTCATTGAGTAGGAGTCATCTGATCTTCCTTGTTGTGGTAATCCTGAGTCATACAGTTTACAAATCATGGTAGAGTCATGGTGGCCTCAGTTTATGGTTGTTTAGAGTCATGATGGCCTCAGTTTATGGTTGTTTAGAGTCATGGTGGCCTCAGTTTATGGTTGCTTAGAGTCATGGTGGCCTCAGTTTATGGTTGCTTAGAGTCATGGTGGCCTCAGTTTATGGTTGATTAGTGTCATGGTGGCCTCGAGTCATGGTAGGTTACAGTCATTGTTGTATAGTCATGGCATAGTCTACAATCACAATAGAGTCACTTTAGTCTTGGGTCACGGTGGTCCTTTTGACTTGGAGTGACTCACATTGACCTCTTGCTCGAGTTTCTTACGAGTATCAGCCGCCCACTTGGCCATCTTGGAGTAATAGAACCCGTCACCGCCCACCTTCATAGACCGGAACACATACTCCTTCTCCACCTCCTCGAAGTCCCGGTCAAACAGGTTAAGAATCTGAGAGAAAATATAGTCAATAAACTTAGCACAGGGAGAAGGAAGGTGTGTTAGATTACCAATTAATTATCACAAACTATATAAACGTTTAATATACGAACCTTAATTATGTATCAGATTACTATTTAATTATCACTCAAATTCTAGTAACACTTAGCACAGGAGTTAAGGTGTATAGTATTACTAATTAATCATTACTTAAATTCATATAAACATGATTAAATACTGACAGGGTTGAAAAGTAAACATCTTAAATCCACGAGGGGAAAAAAAAGGCTTAAAATTAATCTGAAGTAGACATAAAAAATGTTGTACTTACGTGGTCGATCATAACATAGAAGACAGAGAACAGAGACTTCCTGGCTGCTAGTGGTTTGAAGACGTTGAGGACCCGCAGCCCTTGAGCCACTGTCTCCACCGTCTGCACCGCTGCCACCATCACACACTGGTACCTCCTCTCTACCTCCTCCATGCTCTCCCTGAACCTGTAGATACCAGACTTTAGTACATTGTGATACTTTATTCCATATCCCTTCAATGATATACTTGATCCTATAATACCAAGGGATAGTTCCTCCAGTTCATTTTCTTCATGTACAGTCGCCTGCATTTCTACCTGGTACAGTAGCTTCGCGCCTTTTGTGAGATGTGGCACAACTGTGGGATGCTTATCTAACATCATTAGTCTGGTTACTATTGCGAGGTTCCTTAAGAGCCATTTAGGGAGTTTTAATATGATGTAAACAAACACAGTATTGCCACATCTCCCAAAACGTGTCAGCCACTGTACCAGGTATAAGTGCAGGCGACTGTACATGAAGAAAATGAACTGGAGGAACTATCCCTTGGTATTATAGGATCACTTTACAGGCTGAAGGTGATACAGGTAAACACGTACTCTCACACAGCACCTCAGTCTAACACGTACTCTGACACAACACCTCAGTCTAACACGTACTCTGACACAACACCTCAGTCTAACACGTACTGACACAACACCTCAGTCTAACACGTAATCTGACACAACACCTCAGTCTAACACGTACTGACACAACACCTCAGTCTAACACGTACTCTGACACAACACCTCAGTCTAACACGTACTCTGACACAACACCTCTTTCTAACACGTACTCTGCTCACTAATACACGTTCATATTAAGTGTTATTACCGAGCATTATACTCTCTTATGTAACTTTAATTTGTACATAACAGTAATCTTAGTCAAATGCCTTCCCGATGCTGGCCAGACAGCTCCAGTCACCGGATCCACTGATGGTTGCAGCAGGTGCATGGGGCAGCTGGCAACACTATTGACTTGATAACTGTGATGCTTGAGGGGAAAAAAGTCTCAGATTTTTTAGCAGAGGAGTGACGCGGGTTATGTGGGGGAAGAAAATAAAGTATTTCATGGTGAGAGTAAACACTGTTTTTTTTCTATAACTACTGATTAGATATACTTTTTTTTTTTTATATCAGAATTTGTTGTTTTTCATTTGCAGATATAAAGGTCAGATTCATGCAAAATTAACCCCTTGAGGACGATGATTAACTCCAATGACGATAATTTTACCCTTTGATGACTATAATTTAACCCATTGATGACTATAATTTAACCCTTTGATAACGATAATTTAACCCTTGGATGACGATAATTTAACCCATTGATGACGATAATTTAACCCATTGGTGACTAATTTAACCCTTTGATGACTACAATTTAACCCTTTGGTGACTATTATTTAACCCTTTGATGACTATAATTTAACCCTTTGATGACTATAATTTAACCCATTGATGACTATAATTTAACCCTTTGATGACTATAATTTAACCCATTGATGACTATAATTTAACCCTTTGAGGACTATTATTTAACCCTCTCATCCTCAAAGGGTTAAATAACAACACTATCCCCAGCACTCTCATATAACCAACCACTTACAGTACGTCACTTTCCCTGATATATAAGAGAATCTGATACACTTCCTCTCTGAATCATCCTCACTACACTCACAAGCCTGGATTGATAAAGCGGCAATGAGTCTCTTAAACAACATTAAGTATCACGGAGAAGGACACTGAAAGCATGTATGTACTCAGCTCTCCCCTCTGGAAGTTGCTTCAATGGTCATCTGTCACGTTGGTTCAGAGCCTTCCTAGGGTGAGTGTACGTTCTTAAATGTATAAATAATTATTATATATTCCTATGTATATAATAATAATAATAATACAGGAAAAGGCAACGAAGGAATAATAGTTTCTTTAAGGCTTCAAAATTATTACCTGTCAAAGTGCTTAAGCCAGTCCTTGGAGGTGAGGTTGAACACGACGTGACTCTTCCTGCCTACAGCCTTAAGGGCGGCCTCCAGCACCCGGTCCACCTGTGCCAGTTCCTCCTCCAGTAACTCACTCTCAGCACCTCCCTCAGCACCACCCAAGGACTTCACCGACATCATTCCTCCGTCACCGTGTCTGGAGGAGTGATGGCTTGTGTGAATAAGTTTGTTTTGATTATATGAGTCAGTGCTTAAAAATTCTTCAAAAGTTTATTTCAGTGATTTTTCTTTTTTCTACACTATGAGTTCCTTGCAACACACCCAACACCATGAGTTCCTTGCAACACACCCAACACCATGAGTTCCTTGCAACACACCCAACACCATGAGTTCTTGCAACACACCCAACACCATGAGTTCCTTGCAACACACCCAACACCATGAGTTCTTGCAACACACCCAACACCATGAGTTCTTGAAACATACCCAACACCATGAGTCCTTGCAACACACCTAACACCATGAGTTCCTTGCAACACATTCATTTCCAACAATACCTTTGATCACACGCTTTACCAACAGATCTATGCAACACTACACCACGAGTCCTTTGCAACATCCCTAAGCACCGCCTATCACAATACTGCTTCATTATACCAACATTCTTACACCACACAAACATGCTATTCTACGAAGGCGATATACCACTATCTCCCCCAGCTGTCCTCACCACACAAACAAACTCCTAAATTAATACATAAATTGTTGTCATAATTTTACTCTAACGCCTCGCCCAACGCTCCTAGCGCTAATATAATCAAATATCTAGTGAGCTGTACCTGGTGATGCATACAGAACTACCCACAAATAGTGATGCTGAATTTTGCTGTTAGTATTCCTCTATCTACCTGTATAAATATTAATAAGTTCCGTGGTCGAGGTTTTCCGAATCTTCACCTAAACTCTGAACATGATGCAGGTCTCTCATTCTCTACCCTTCAGTCACCAATGCTGCTATGGTCCGCTCCTTTACTGAGACAGTTGTAACTTACCTAAGTCACTAAGGTTACACCTCTCCTCTTATCCACCTCATCACAGTTGTGGGGAACAGGCCAACTACATGTGTTATACCCCGTATGGAGAGACCATTATCACGGAGAGAGATAATGTGACCTCTGAGCACCAACTTCTCGTCTCTCTGATTCATGTTGGCTTGGTGGAGCTTCTGATCACTCTCATCAGCGGCAAATAACAACACCTAGGTGAAACACACACACACACACACACACACACACACACACACACACACACACACACACACACACACACACACACACATACTGTATATATAGCTAGCGTATTATACAAAGAACTTCAAGTAATGAATACACTGAAGACTCTTGATATATGAGCTCTGTTCACCTACTTCTTATGGTGTTCATTCGAAACCAATTTCCCTGTTGTATTTTGATACTCGAATGGATACTCCTATCACTACAGTTTTCTTCTCTCGTCAGCAGAATATTCATATCAATATCCTTCCCATCTCCTTTTGATGAGTACTCGTTTGAATCACACTGCTCCGTTGCCAGTTCCACTGTGTGTGTTGGTGGGAGACTCGGCGCAGTGACCTGTCGTCCAGGAAGGGTACAACAGGCTATGCACCCTTCACCGCCAGTGTACTACGAAATTCTGAACGGAACTGTACCTTGTGAGCTGGGCCTTACTGAGGCCTATGTATTTGAGGTCCTCACAGCGGCTGACGAAGAGCTCGACGGGGAGGAAGATGGCGTCGGTGTCGGGGAGCCAAACGTGTGGCCGATCCTGCTCCCCGAAGTGTGTGGCCAACTGCCAGGTAGCCAGAGGATGGTGGGAGAGAAGGTGACAGTTAGTGTGGTGTAGTGTGTATTCCTTTTTCTCATCCTTCTATCCATATTCTTCTACACAATTCTATCTTCCTTCCTTATAATATTTCATGAACCTCTCGTTTACTTCAGTCCATCCCATCAATTTCTGTGTACTTCAATACCTGGGCACCACCCTCTCTACCCCCCCTCCTCCCTCTCCCTCCCTCCCTTCCTACCTCCCTCTCTCTCCCTCTCTCCTCACCTCTTTATAACAATTCTTCCATTCCCTACAACACTTGATAGCGACCTCCACCAGACCCAGCGAGTCCTTCCCCTCCGGTGTCTTGAAGGACGGAGTCTTCGAAGTCGGGGAGAAAAGGGTGTCGAGAGGGAGGTGGACCTGACATGCCCTCGTGACCTCCCATGACACACGCACACACAGCTCCGTCATGACCTCTCTAATGGGGGGGGGGAGTAACGTACAGACACTACAAATGTTAGAAAAAAATCAGACTCAGTCTTCTGTCATCATCATCATCATTGAACATCAATCATCTTCATCATCATCATTGAACATCAATCATCTTCATCATCATCATCATGAGAAAGAAGTCACAATAAACTTGGTCTTACTGTTTGTGGTAGTGGTCTGAGTGCATCCAGATGATTCTCAACAAGGCGAGAACATCATACATATGTTCCGTCAGCGCCTGTACAGAGTCGTTGTACAGTTGGTCCAGCGGTGCCTCAAGGTGAACCAGCTGTCCGCCAGTCTCCTTCAACCGCTTCTGTACCATCTGTCAGGGGAATATGTTTACTGTACCATCTGCTTGTCTTCCTTCTTGCCTACCTTTCTGTTTCTCAAAAAGGATTTATCAAACTTTAAATCGGCATCACTGAGAGGCTTATTACCACAGTACAGCACCACATTACAGTACTATGTCACCACAGTACAGCACCACACTACAGTACTATATGCCACCACAGTACAGCACCACACTACAGTACTATATGCCACCACAGTACAGCACCACACTACAGTACTCTATGTCACCACAGTACAGCACCACACTACAGTACTCTATGTCACCACAGTACAGCACCACACTACAGTACTATGTCACCACAGTACAGCACCACACTACAGCACTCTAGTACACCACCACACAGCACCACACACTACTACTACAGTGCCACCACATACAGTACTATATGCCACCACAGTACAGCACCACACTACAGTACTATATGCCACCACAGTACAGCACCACAGTACAGTACTATATGCCACCACAGTACAGCACCACACTACAGTACTATATGCCACCACCGTACAGCACCACACTACAGTACTATATGCCACCACAGTACAGCACCACACTACAGTACTATATGCCACCACCGTACAGCACCACACTACAGTACTATATGTCACCACAGTACAGCACCACACTACAGTACTCTATGTCACCACAGTACAGCACCACAGTACAGCAGTATATGCCACCACAGTACAGCACCACACTACAGTACGATGTCTTTCACCTGTCACTCTGTTCGCCCCTTCTACACCTGACTCTCCTTACAGTCAAGTCAAGGTACAATACACGTGTAACCTAAAGCCTTCTCGAACACAGACTACACTCTACATCTGACACACAAACAACACTCACGGCCAGAACAGCAGAGTATCATATATTTATTACCAACAACAGCTGTGGTATCCCCTTCCTACACAATACTACACGGAGGTCAAGTTGTCTGTGAACTGAATTTAATCAAAACCATCAGGTGTTTTGATTGAAAGTCATACCTGTACGTCTATGTTTTTATCTATCAGTAGTAAATTGATCTGAGAATAAAGTTTAAAGAGTTATTATGGTTATCCTTAGAGTGTCTACAGTTGATAGTAACAAAAGGTTAGAATGTTGTTCATGGTATTTGAGAAGTTGTTTTGTATCTGTCCTCTACACTCACCCTGAGGTTGTCGACGGCTTGCTGGAAGAGGATGATGAAAGGGGAGCTCTGAGCCTCTAAGAAGTTCAACACCTTCTTCACCTTCGAGCTCTCCATCAGGTTGAGGAGCTCCTTCAGCATCTCTCCTGCAGGAAGGTTGTGAAGCGTTAACACCAGGTGGGGGCCTATGTACAGTCATACCTCTATTTAACGGACCATATGGGAAAGTGTAGACCGTTATATCGACGTTAAGTGAAGGTTAGGTTAGGTTAAGTGAAGGTTAGGTTAGATTAAGTGAAGGTTAGGTTAGGTTAGGTTAGGTTTTGTCAGGATAGGTTCGGCTGTCAGGTTATGTCAGGTTAGATTAGATTGTTTAAGCATCAGGTGAAATAAACATTCGTGTCTACTGTGGAGGTGATCCATATATTCTTTTTTTTAGGTCAACAGGGAAAAATGTTCATTATATTCACACCTTCACTCACCTTTCCTGGAGAGTTGTCGTATCTCGTGCAGCAGACCCAGCTCCAGGGGGGAGGAGGCGTCGCCCTGCTCGAACGTGAAGAGGTGGACCTGTTCAATCCAGTGTAGCAGCAACTCTGTGGTGATTAGATATGATGAAATAAAAGGTAGGTAATTAAACATGAGATTATTATTAGGTGAGGTGAGGTTTAAGGAGACACTCGCCTTCTGTCCTGTTGAGGAGACCCACATCGAGACTTAAGCGACGCAGCTCCTCTTTGTCGTCAGGAAGAGCCAACACTTCACTAGGGAGGAACAGCAGGGGCGTCTCAGTGGCTGCCCCGACGTGGTACACCAACTGCGCCCCCACCAGGTTCACGAGGCGAGGAAGGCCTGCCAGGTCTCGGTAGTGGCCGAGGACTGATGGTTCAGCAGGTGTAGCGAGCATCACCGGCTGATACACCTCCAGGAGGAAGTGTTGAACAGCGTGCGGGTTGTCCGTCTCCACTGTACCATAACTGTGAGAGGTGGGACATGATTATAAGAGGTGGCAAAAGTGTCTATATTGTAAATTACTGCTAAATTAACTTGGCTTTTTCGTATTAATTCAACTCGAGTGTGAGTGCGCGCGCGCGTGCGTGCGTGTGTGGGTGTGTGTGTGTGTGAGAGAGAGAGATATCTAACACGTGTATAGTCACATCGTAAAAATATGGACAGGCACAACATTAAAATAACACAATGAACAATATTATTATACGTGATAAATTCTCCCCAAGTGATAAAAATTCACTCAGGTAAGCGAAACTATGAGGCTGCATGTGTGTCCCTTAATCATCTGAGATTCCATAAGCACAAGCACGCGCCAAGCTCCAAACACTGTATACATCAAACAGACATACACAGAACAACCTTGGAGGCGAGTGAGGATATTTAGCGAGACCAGCACGTGTCTGGCAGGTGTTGTGACAGACTGGTGGATTAATTAATATAATTAGTATCTCTTCATCTTCTCTTTATTTACTTAGTTGAAGCTGTCACTCGTTGATGATGTGTTATTATTGTTCTATAAGGCGTCTGAGACACCCATAAGGCGCCAGGGATCGTCTAGACGTCGTGTGTGATGTATGTAATGAAGGATTAAGTTTCCACGTGATACACAAGAGGCCATCATCACACACACAAGCTACGGTGCTTCATCCTGGCACTCGCTCAACCTTCCTGGAATAGTTGTAATCTTAATATAACACGTACGAAAAAACAATCTGGCGTGTCGATTCTTCTTGTGTTTATTGATTATCGATTTACAGCATCCTAAGGCCAAGACGTAACGTAAAAACAACACAGTAAGAGAATCTAGATGGGTCTATTTGTTCCTGGACGGATGTTGGCAGCTTCTCCCGGCAAACATTGTGAACCATAACAACGTGTATTAAGTAAACAGCAAACTTTTGTGGACGTGGTTAACTATTACAGGTGTGTGATGATATATCTACCTGGGAGAATTAACCTGTCTACAGTATAACTCGTAAAATAGCCTCTCATTCGTTTCCTCTGACCACGAAGTTGGAGAGTACTTCCTCCAGCTACTACCTCACCAAACACCCCAGACCAGACAGAGTTACCACGTACCAGACACATTCTTTGAAGTTCTGGGCGGTGATGCGCACCTCGTCATCCAACTTGAGGAAGTACCACACTGCACCTACAGCGCCCACTGGCAGGTTGAGACTCACAGCCAAGCGTGTCTTGCCGGCGCTCCTTCGGGGTACACACAGACGCTATATTAATATTGGTTCCTGGTACACAGAGAATATTCAGGTATATATGTAATATTCCTAATAGTGTCTTATGTCCTGCCTGAGTTATGGGAAACTCTCCGGGCAACAAGACAAGAGACGTGAGGTGTATTTATATGCGTTTTGTAGGGTTTTATTTATTTATTTATTTATTTATTTTTACTTCCGTCGCTTGTCTTCTCGTCCGGAGTTCCTTATAAATACAACATTAGTGACAGCAGAGAACATAACAGCAAAGAACAACGGCTTACCTGACAACATAACAGCAGCCTACCTGACAACATAACAGCATAGAACAGCGGCCTACCTGACAACATAACAGCAGCTTACCTGACAACATAACAGCATAGAACAGCGGCCTACCTGACAACATAACAGCAGCTTACCTGACAACATAACAGCAGCCTACCTGACAACATAACAGCATAGAACAGCGGCCTACCTGACAACATAACAGCACATAATTCGTTCTTCAGGGTCTCTAAGGAAGCTGGTGGCCAGAGACTTAAAGTGAGGTGTCCACTTGAGTCGAGACTTCTCTGGGAGCACCGTCAGCGTCTCAATTAGCTCCAGCTACAGGTAAACACACACACCTGAGATAATGATCTACAATACACTATATACAGTAGGTCAGTCATATTGATAAGTACGATATGTGTTTACACTATTTTATAATGGTATCAATAAAGGTTTGTATTTTGAGTGTCTTAGGTGTATGTGAGGTGTATTGTGAGTTGTGAGGTGTATGTGAGTTGTGAGGTGTATTGTGAGTTGTGAGGTGTATGTTACCTGTATGTCCGTGTGACAGGGGTGTGTGTGTGTGTCCGTTTGTTACTCACGGTCTCTGACAGCAACTCCTGTTCTAGTGCCGAGCGTTGAGCCTCGAGATGTGCCTCCTCGTCAAATTCCTCCTCCTCTTCCTCTTCTTCCTCCTCCTCCTCGCTGTCAATACACACACGTACGCAATAAGTTAATCTCTCTCTCTCTCTCTCTCTCTCTCTCTCTCTCTCTCTCTCTCTCTCTCTCTCTCTCTCTCTCTCTCTTCAACACAAGACAGGTTTACAGGTGTGTTAATCATGGTACAGGTGTGTCAGATAACGTATACCTGTGCTGAGAAAGTGTTGGATAGGTTACAGGTGTGTTGGACAGGTGTAATAAAGAGGTTACGGGAGAGATAGAAAAGTTACAGCTGTGGGGGAGAGTTGTGAGGTATGTGAGGGAGAACAGTGAGGGAGGAAAGTGAGGGAAGTGAGTGAGGGAGAGTAACTTACCTGGCAATGTCAGCATACTCAGGAGGTTCCTCTTCGGGCATATCCATCTTGGCGACTAATTAGACGGCCGGGCCACAGTCACCTGAGAGGAGGGCCACCATCACCTGGGAGGAGGGCCACCATCACCTGAGAGGAGGGCCACCATCACCTGAGAGGAGGGCCACCATCACCCTGAGAGAAGGACCACCCTTACCTGAAACGAGGGCCACATCACCCTTAGGGCCAGACACCATTACTTACACAAACTGAATAAAAGAGAGATTTGGTATGTAAAAAGAAAACACCTAAGACAAATTTAAGTAAATGAGGTGAAGTAAGATAAGGTAGGGTAGGGTAGGGTAGGGTAGGGTAGGGTAGGGTAGGGTAGGGTAGGGTAGGGTAGGGTAGGGTAGGGTAGTAGGGTAGGTTCGTTAGGGTGGTTAATCTTGTGGTTAAATATGGTGGGGAGCTAATGATTAGGTGATTCATAAATTATAAGCACAGAGCAACACAAGTACAGGCTATTGTACTCCGTCTACCACAGCTGCTCCTCAAGACACACGCTAAAATATAACTTTTATAACGTAATAAATGAATACAAATAAATTACAAGGAAAGAAGTTATTTATATATACAACAGCAAGAGTGATTGAATATTCAGAGAAAATGAAAAACATTATTCATACCTGGTGAGCTGTCTACCCAGGTGAGCTGTCTACGCAAAATTCTCTCAACACGCTTCCCAGGTTCACACCACATCATCACATTCCAGGTTTGTTTGTTATTAAATATCTGCACTGAATTCTGTACTGTATATGCCAAACTAAGCACAATCGATATAATGTAGACGGAGTTCAGTAATTTACAGTATCACTTACCAGTCACAACAAGCACGCATGAAGCAACAATTTTACCTTCTAGTGATAGGAAATACTTTATACTAAGTGTCGCCAGCTGTAACTTGTTTTAATAATCAACAGACTTTGTCTAATGTTATGTCGTATTTTATGGTCAATCTATCCTCTAATTAGGCATTGTTTGTGTCACTGTGATCACCAAATACGTGTTAAACTTCGTTATTATAGCCAGCGTTCACTCACTCACTCGTGGGCCGACAGGTAAGTTTTGTTTACAAGTGACGTCATCTGATAGCGTTACATCTTAGCGAATGTTACGACTTGCGTAATAACATCATTTATGTCTAGCATTTAAAATATTCAATAGTTATGGCTTTAAGTTTATTAGAAATCATATTAATCAAAGTATTAATCAAGTGAAAAAAAAAGCTTCATTGTTATACAGAATTAAAATATACTCCTACGATCTCACGTGTTGTGGTTACGGTATCCATAGTGACGGCGTCCCTAGCAACCAATTCTTCTACGCGCTCAGGTGAAAACAACAAATACTTGCAATATCACGAGCAAATGGCTGAGACAAACATTACACAGCATAAGTTAAAATATAAACAAAATACACAGGTAGTAATGATTTATATAAGATTACAATACCATATTGGAGAAGCTGTCATTAGTCACCATATATCATTGCAGTGTTTGTGGCGTGGCGTGTCATCATCATCGTCATCATCATCGTCGTCATCATCATCATCATCATCATCATCATTATCATCATCATCATTATTATTACTGATTTATAAGACCTAACCTGTAATGTTTTGTTATATTCGAAATGAGGTTATGTTAGGTAAAATTAGATTAGGTTAGATTAGGTTAGGTTAGGTAAGGTTAGATTGGTTAATCTTCAGGTGAAATAAGCTGGGGGGAGTAATCTTCAGGTGATCTTCTGTTACTACTGACAGTTTCTGTTGATAATACTTGTGTGTCGTAGTAGTTCGCCAGTTATGACAGCAAGCACGGGTATACCAGATCTAACCTAACCTAATTTAAACTAACCTAACTGAACTGAACTCAACCTTACAGGTATAACTGACATGATTAAATATATATCTCAATCTTTTCTTGCATACGGTTCAAGAGACACAAGGAACAAGTCGGATCGACTATAAACTTTTGCTATCACAATGGAACTTATTTCACACAAAGTTTGTAAGTTTAGAATGGAATAAAATATTACAAATGTTACAAAACTTTAATTGATAAAAGACAATTCTTCAGTACATCTTTTGACAACAACGTTCTGTAAGTATGATGTAAAACAATGAATCCTAACACGACTAATATAAGACATATTTGTCAGCTGTTCTTGAAGCTGAATAAATTGAGTCAGTACGCTGGCAGAGGCTCATAGTGTTAAGGCTGCTGAAGCAAACTGTTCGTCCACACTCATTACACAATTATGTATGATTTACCAAATGACATTTTACAATGACTTATGTACAGTTTTCTAAGTATTATGCAAGAAATGAATTATGAGTCAAGAATAAGTGGAAATGACTCTTGTGTAGGAGGTTTATCTTTATGTTGAACAATATGAGAGGACATGAACTAGTTCCATAAGAAAGGTTGAGCTTCTCCTCCCCGAGGGCTGTGAGGCTGAGCACACACACACGCCACCGTCACCTTCACTGTCTGAGGATGATACGACCCGCAGCTGTGAGGGCCGCGGTTCCAGATCCTCACAGACCGAGAGACGGGAATACATTTGAAGTTACCTACAAGAGAGCAGCGATGGTCGTTACACAGGCACCCCAGCTCTATGATAGAGGGTGGCACGATGCCAGGGATGAAGTCTTTCCTCACTAGCTCCCAGGGACACTCCCCGAGCACGGTGGCGTGTGCCAGCCACTCAGGAGATAGTTGGTGGCGGTCCTCCAACACCACCACCTCTCTGTTCTCCTGGAGATTCTGGCAGGCGTTGACGAGGTTGAATGTAATCACTGATAGCGGGAAGGCAGTGTAGCGACTAAAGTGATCATTCATAAGCTCAGCAGGAGAACAGATCATCTCCGGTTGTAGCCAGTTTATAGGCATCTGCGAGTCGAAGTGTTCCATAAACGCAGCGGGTGAGTGGACCGTGAGAACATTGCCGGCGAGGCTGTTGATCGTGAGGTTGTGAGGACTGTTAGCAGTTGGTGTCGCCAGTACTGCGTGTATGAGACAAGCGAGGGTGATGCTGGTAACTGCAGGCTGTCTGTATAAGACTCGCTGAACCACCATGTCAGCAACAAGAGACAACTGTACACCTTCTCGGGGGCCAATGTTGTTGTGGTGGTTGTCTGATGCTCCTATGACTTTCACTGCTGCTCTCCTCCTTATATATATCCAGTTGCCTCGACTCCTCGGTAATTACTAACTCATCAGAACTTCAGTTGTCTATTATTTATATACGAAGGCTTGTAATACTGAGGCCAGGTAATTGGCTCCGTGTTTCGACGACGGAGCGAGTTACATAAAGTTATACACGTGGGACGCTTAATGTGTTATGATTAATGATTATCTCCCGATAGTTCGGCCACAGCTACAACATCTCACTGTCATCGACAATATCATTCTTAGCCGTTATTAGATGATGCATGACACGATAAACACACGTATGCACGCACGCACAGACAGGCAGGCAGACAGACATTTAACTGATTGGTTGCTTGGTTGTTGCCGGAGACAACATGCCAGGTCCAGTAGGGACACATTGGGTGACATCCTTCACATGTTTGACCAAATAGGGTGTGAAAACGAGGTTTCAATTATATATTAAATAGAACGATTTTCTTAATTCCTGATTAACGAATTCCACAGTGACCACCCAAATGGACTGTAAAGAGGTCCAGAACAATCTCTGGCAGCTTCAAGAGTGGTCAAAGAAATGGCTGCTAAGATTCAATGTCAGGAAGTGTAAGAGGATGCACCTACAGGTCGCACCAACAGTTAGGACGCGTATCACATGTCCCAACGGGACGAAGAAACAGCATTAACAGAGACCGAATTTGAAAAGGACCTGTATGTATGTTGACAACAATCTGAAGTTCTCGGCCATTATGAGGTGAATCAAGCAACTAATCTACAATAGCAGGGTTTATAAGAAGGTTGTTCATATATCTAGACGGTCTGTCTAGAGACTGTCAGTTGATCGAAAATGTCCAAAGGAGGGCCACCAAACTGGTGGCTGCGGTACGACACCTCAGAGACTAGTACGCCTGCAGTTGCCTCGCTTATACCATAGGCGGGCAAGGGGTGACTTAATTTAAGTTTAAAAGCATCTCAGGGCATTACTCAGTTGAGTGTCCATACCTGGAGCTGGCGGACGCCCGCCCCTCTAGGAGTCAAAGCTCTGAAGAATACCACAAGTTCAGAAAGAAGTCAACACAAACTTTTTCGAAGTGAGAATTGTGAACTCTTGGTATAATCTGCTAGAGAGTGTTGTGACGGCACCGAGGGTGAGCACATTCAAGACTAGAATTGACCAACATTGGAGCAGGTTCCGATATATTCAGGAGCCAGTACATGTCCAGTATCTGCCATCAGTGCGTAAAAGAGACCTGACCGATCGCCCAAGTGGCTAACGAGCTGATCAGTGGTGAAGAGGATAAAGTACAGAATATAATTGAAGGGAAGTTTCATTAACTTTAGGTACCCGTATAAATGTTGTAGTTTTCTTTGGTATCAACTCTTTGAAATTAACTTAGAAAATGTAATAAATATGGGGGTCTATTTTATACACAATACATATACGTGATACCAGCACTACAGTACATTAGATTATTCAGTAAAATCGTCATGCAAATTCACATTGGTTCTGCATGATAACAGAAAGAGCAGTTATACCATGTTGAAAAATAAGTTGATAGCACCAAGGACAACCCGAGAAAGTTATATATAATCACCTGAGTAGTCTCCACCCCAGCTTGTTTCAGCTAAAGATTAACCAAAAACCACCCTAACGTAACGTAACATAACCTAACGTAACGTAACAATAATGTTTATCTATCAGACCAAAGCATCCAGGTCAGTAGCAGTAAAACATAGACTTCGCAGTAACCAGGGGAGCACGTATTCACCCACGGAAGTTGACACACCCAACAGTGACTAAGGTGAGATAAAGACCTGACCCAAAGAAGGTCAAAGTCACATAGAGAACTAGAATTTTCACCGTCACGCGATTAGCTTAACCCGACGCCATGACCGTGTTAATTAAAGGAACTGCTATCCAGTACTTGTGTTACCTGATCAAACAGACGGTCTAGAAACACCCAGTAAGTGGTGTGGCTGTGTAGACGGAAGTAGTGCGGTGATCCTGGACCTCCCTAACGACCGACATAATGGAAGCTGTAACACGCATTTGTGTTTTATATATTACACTTGTACGGAACCTGTGTTAATATACAGGATTATCTTCACCTAACCTAACCTAACCTAACCTGACCTAACCTAATCTCCCCCAAAATAGGCTGGGGTAATCGGAAAGGCATCACCTGAACGAGGACATCATTGAAGCTATGCAGGACATCACTGAAGACATAAGTAGGACATCACTGAAGGTATTTAGACGGGGAGGATACAGGTACTTGGTAATTACTGATAATTCAATCGATTTTTCAGGACATAAAGACAATTTCTTCCTAAGTTAACATGGAGTCCATTTCCAAATTTTCCTTAGAAGTGATGAAGTCATTAAAGTTACCGTAATTTAGATAAGAAACCATCGTATTTGAAGGGTTAAGACTTCATACTTACGCGATTAAGTTAATATATCAAAGGGGCTAAGTCATTGTACTTCCTTCAAATATAAACACACTATAGGTAGCTAAAATGTCCAAAAAAAGGGGAGAATCGATGTTTTTAAAATTTTATATACGGTTAAGGTCGGGTCGGGTCGGGTCCGGTCGGGTCGGGTTAAGTTAGTTAGTTTAATGTTAAAGTGGTTAATCTTCAGGTAAAATTATCTAGAGGTGGACCTTCAAGTGATACCAATATTTTAATATATTTCTTTATTGTTAATATAATAATCAAGAGCTGTGAAAAATATAGGATGAGGAAATGTTATACTTCTCATGTTTTTTCCTTTTATAATCATGTTCCCTAAATAGTCTGCATTTTCAACTCGACTCTACATGACGTGTGTGATTAGTCATCTTAATGCTCATCTTCACGCTCATCTTCACGCTCATCTTCATGCTCACCTAACTCCTGGCTATTCAGAGTCTTACCGATAATTGTAACTTGTGGTTGTTATGACAAACCGTACTCATATAAGTAGCTGGCATTGTACCCTCACTTAACCTCGGTCTCTTATCTTATCGTCGACCCCCGTTACTACAACTTGTTATAACCTCTGAACTATTTGAAAGATTATATTCGCCTGACCTTAAGATTGAATCTTTCTTATGTTATTGTTATGAAAACTTATCCTATTGTCCATTACTTTGGTGTTGAGGATAGAGAGACAGGCACCATCTCCCCATCTCTTGGGCTGTATGATATATTAACAGAGCTTCTGATAGGGGATCACCTAGAGATTAGATCCCCAAGATTATTTAATTTGAAGATTAACCACCCTAACACTACCTGGGGGGGTGTAGGTTAGGTTGTCAGTCTTAATAATAAGGTAAACTAAGCGTTTGTAGCTAATCTTTAGGTGCTCTCTGATAGGGAATTGGAGACAGTGTGTTTGGTCCTTTAGGTTCAGACTATAAAAACAAAACAAACAGTATCATTACAAAACCCGATGGTGAGATACGGAGATGTGTTAAGAGAAGGCAGAGGAAGATAAGATGAAGTGATGTGGTTTATGTTATGTTTGTTATCTTGGAGGTTCACGGGGAGAGCAAGAATAATCGTTCACTGTCCCAGAACACATGTGACCGAGCCTTGAGACAGAGAGATTAGAATAAACTTCCTTCATGTCTCGTCTGGGTAGGGTAGGTTACGTTAAGTTAAGTTAGAATTATGATGGTTAATTTTCTGGTGAAATAATCTGGAGAGGGAACCTTCAGGTGATCACAATAACGGATCATATGTCTCAGCATCTAAGATATAGTGATAAGATTAGCTCTTGCCCTCCTTACTCTCAAGCCCTTAAACTTTTTTCTGTAGTCTAGTGCCAAGTAGTTCTGCTCAATCCGACTTTGTGGCTGTGATGAAGACACGCAGGCACAACACACGTGATGACTTATTATAACTGCTCACACTCGTTCAATTGGCTTGTACTATAAAGCGTTATTTATTGAATGTAACCACCTCGATTTTAATCAATTGTTTCATTTCAATTAGTCAATTAGGTATGGAGAAGCAAATTTTTTTGTTTTTGTTTTTTATGCAGAAAAATAACGCGAATAATCTACTTTAATTCAACACTGTTCCTTTGTTTTTCATCAAATGTTCAAAGTTGGTTCTTTGTTATAAGGACTGGTATAGCTACACTATGGTCGAGCTAATTTTAGTACATTATGGGAACACCGTTAAATATGGTGTTTTGATATTATAATGTTACACGTGTACTGGCTCAAGATGGTATATAATTACGGGGGAGGGGGGGGGGGTAGGGCAGGAGTGAAAGGTAGGACGGGAACCGGGTGGTTGGTGGGGAGAGTGAGAAACAGACTGCGTCCTTACCACATTGACGGGAGTTACCGGGGATTTTTCATTGATTGATACGTTTATTGAAGAAAAAAAAATACATCCCCACCCCAGCCAGTCCAGGAATGTCCCTCTCAGTACTCACATAGATCCCTAACACAGATACAGTTACCGGGGAGCGGAGAGAAACTTGTGCAGGCAACTTTTACTTCCACCACAAGACCTAATACAATAAACCAACCTGAGTATACTTAAATATTAATCAAATATAAAGACAAGTTTGTATGGTATGTTTGCTTGCTAAAGGTATGTGTACTCACCGGGAAGAGGTTGTTGCCTTCTGCCACGCCTGCTAACACTGTCGTTCACACTTTAGTAACTTAGTATTGGTATTTAAAAAAAACAAGGAGTTTGTTTGTAACAGCCATTGACAATGGCATAACACTCTAGTTCATTTAAATAACTTTCTAATCCCCCCACAAAACATTTCCAATCAGAAGTGTGTACTAGAAATAATCCAGTATATTTTCATATGAACAAATGTCGGATAAACCCATAATGGGGCCAATTTAAGCGAAATCCTTGCCTGCCGTTTCCGATCAACAGTAAACACCGACATATTTTCACAGACTAACGTCAAGCGCCTGACAGTGACTGTTACTTATTTACCGAGATCACAAACTTTGTCCTCTGACGTTAATGATCTTTTTTAATATATAGTAAAGTAAATTAACAAAATAAACAATTAGATGAAAGAAATGTGTTATATTTCATCTACTTTTGTCGTAATAAATATTTAATATTCGGTACAGTTCGCTCCCCGAGGTGAGACTGAGTCACAGGAATGAGTCCCTGAACCAGACAAATTGTCCGGAGACAGACGATGTGTGACGCCGCGGTGAGTGTTATAGTTTACTCACCTTAACCTGTTACACGACTCACTGTCTTTATAGGGAGAGGGAAACTGTCTTCCCTCGAGGATAAAGTCTGAAAGATTAGAATTATATGTAATTCGAATATAGTGTAAGATATGTGTTGATAACCTGACTCACTCGTTCGAACAATTTGCCTCAGAATATGTCCGTTCCGGCCTTGGTGTGAGCGGCCCTGGTGCGGGTGTGTTGTTTTATCTCATGTGGGGTCGATACTGCTTCAGTTTGGGAGGCCCAGGGAGGAGCGACCTGTACAGGTTTACAGTCAATAATTAACAGATCACGAAAAGTTAATATAATTCATTTTTCTGTTGACCTAAGGAAACAAATTCATCTTAACCTGTACTTAAACAATAGTGATAATGTTACATCCTTAAAGGGCCTTTACTGTTGACGTGTGTTTGTCTGTTTACAAGCAAATATAAACACTCTATTACTTTTAACATAATGGACAGATAATACTGAAAAATATAAGAAAAATTAGAACATAAATCGTCACTGTAATCAAGAGAAGATACAGTATAGAGTCAGTATAAGTCAGTGGTTCTCAACCTTTTTCACTCCATTCCCCCCCTTGAGGAATTTTCAACATCCTCGTGGCCTCCTTCATTTTTCTCCCAGAACAGACAAACAGACAAGTGATAAAGACTAAACATTGATAAAGAAGGACAGATAGATAGGACAAGAGTTAGAATGGCAAACACACACACACACAGTGTTAAACAGAGGTGAACAGTGGTGAACAGTGCTAAGTTCAGTGAGAACAACTCAACAGTAACAGTCGTACCCAAGTTAACCTTCACACAGTGAGGTCCCAGGTACCCAGTGATAACGGCCCCCCCCCCCGCGAGACCCAACAACAACCAGCGATGTGTTAATCCGTCTACGATAGGAAGGCCTGAGACCACACCTCACTCATATAACACCATCTGTGGGGAATTACTACACCACGTCATGTCCCTCATAACACCATCTGTGGGGAATTACTACACCACGTCATGTCCCTCATAACACCATATGTGAGGGAATTACTACACCATGTCAAGTCCCTCATAACACCATCTGTAAGGGAATTACTACACCACGTGAGGTCCCTCATAACACCATATGTGAGGGAATTACTACACCACGTCAAGTCCCTCATAACACCATCTGTAAGGGAATTACTACACCACGTGATGCCCCTCATAACACCATCTGTGAGGTAATTACTACACCACGTGAGGTCCCTCATAACACCATCTGTGAGGTAATTACTACACCACGTGTTTGCTGCTCAACACCTACATTAATCTGTATGTTCACTGCATGTTCCTTTTCCTTTCTCTAATGAAGGCTTTTGTTAAACCACCAATGTATGTAATAAATCATTTATGTCCAATGTATATTTTCAGCCTTCGGGCTGCAGAACTTTTTCAATAAACCGTTAATTATTATTATTATTATTATTATTATTACATAACACGCCCATGCACTCACACATAAAGCACACATACAGTCATACACAAACATGCACACAGGTAAACATTCACACTCAAGCTAGCAAGCTGAAGTGTACTTCCTGTAAGCAAGAACACGCCTCCTTTGACAAGCACTGCCCAACTTGGAAGAATGAGAAGAATAGTGAGTCATACCAATTTAGCACTAAAAATGGTAGGATTATATAAGTAAAGAACGAGTATGAACAACAATGGCACCAATAAATAAGGAAATGATTAATAAAGGAAGTGTACAAATATTTCACCCACGTAAAGCAGCGACCACATGAATTATGAAACAAAATAAGTAACACCTTCCCTCTCCCTCCATTCCACCTTCCCTCTCTCCCTCCATTCCCATTCCACCTTCCCTCTCTCCCTCCATTCCCATTCCACCTCCCCTCTCTCCCTCCATTCCACCTTCCCTCTCCCTCCATTCCACCTTCCCTCTCCCTCCATTCCACCTTCCCTCTCCCTCCATTCCACCTTCCCTCTCCCTCCATTCCACCTTCCCTCTCTCTCCCTCCCTCCTTCTCCCCCAGCGCCTCCCCCTCCTTCTCCCTCAGCGCCTCCCCATATCAGTAATATTGACTGTTAAATAATTGAATAAAAATTTACGTTGGTCAGATAAAGGAGTTCAGTAGCGTTGTTTTTTGTGATAATGGCATGTACAGTAGTCGTGTGGTCGTTTCCTTTTGTCGTATGGTTAATGTTGTTTAGTATATGTAGATTAGGTATGGTAAATTTAGGTAAAGTTAAGTTAGGTTAGATTAATGTTAGAGTTTGGTTGGTTAATCTCAAGGTGATTCCAATGTTGAAGTACATCTGTTGGTATCTGGCATCTTACTCACAGGACATTTTGTTTCGGTGATATTAAACAATTTCTTATCTCCTTGTTTTGATCTCTGTTAGGTGTAGTAATTCCCTCACAGATGGTGTGATGAGGGACTTGACGTGGTGTAGCAATTCCCTCACATATGGTGTTATGACGGACATGTGGTGTAGTAATTCCCTCACAGATGGTGTTATATGAGTGAGGTTTGGTCCCAGGCCTTCCTATCGTAGACGGATTAACACATCGCTGGTTATCATGGGCCGTTATCACTGGGTACCTGGGACCTCACTGTGTGAAGGTTAACTTGGGTACAACTGTTACTGTTGAGTTGTTCTCACTGACTTAAGCACTGTTCACCACTGTTTAACACTGGTTCCATTCCTTTCCTAAATGAAATTGTAACTTCTGGCGAGAACTTGTTGATATTCCGGTGGGGAGGAGGGTTCAGGGGAGGGGGTTGGTATGGGCCAACTTAACAGTTGACCTGGCTGCTCCCAGAGGAGCGCCAGGTACGTCTTGACCCTTCGGTGGTCAAGGATGTGTGTGTGTGTGTGTGTGTGTGTGTGTTTGTGTGTGTGTGTGTGTGTGTTTATTATGCCACTGAGGATGTATATGTAAACAATACATAGAAAAGACTTTAATTCACAAAAGAAAACATATTGAGTATTTTGTGTGTACTCAATATATACATAATACACATACTACACTCAGTATACATAATATACATACTATAAACACTATGCACAATACACATAATATTTATAACAACAAATGCTTCAGTAATTCTAAAGTCGTTGGATAAGGATAATTACTATAGCAAAAACAACAACAAAATGAACCACAAACTTACATGAATATCACAGCTGTGTAATCAATTTCTCAAGCCAGAGGCAATATGTTAGCGAGGAAGTCTATCTATCTATCTTCTTTTGGTCTCACAGTCACATCAACAGCATATGAACACTAGACGGCTATATACACTGTTGAGATTAATCGATCAAGATGCTGGTATTTCTCCTGTTTAAGGAATTTTGTTGATTAGGAGGTTGTGAGTGTCGGCCCAGGAACCCAGGGCTGCCCAGGAGCTGGTATAATGCCTCGGGGTCCATAGATGGGTCAAAGGTCACGTTACTTCGTCGATTTCTTGGTGCGTTTGTCTGGTCTACGAGTGGCAGTTTTTCCTGAAGGCTGGAGGTGTCTTCTGGTTCACGCTTCTGTAGCTGTTTCTTGTTGAGGCTGGGGTCACACAGACGCACCATTAACTCGTAGAATCTAGCGTGGCTGAGGTGCTGCTTCAGGCGGTACAAGAGGTAGATATCGCCTATCTTACAGTTATCTACTACGCCTTGGCTCACCTTCCACACCTTGTCAGGGCCGTGTAGAGGCCTGGAGGTGCGAAGTAGACATACCCGAATTAATGGCAACCACAAGAGAAGGAGGAAGATGATGTAGCAACAAGTGAAGAAACAAAGTACGATCAACCACAACCACAAGACCAGAAAGATCTTCTCGTAGAGCTCCATAATGGTGAGGTGGCAGCCAAACTTCTCAGTCCGACGGTTGACCAGTTGGTTCTCAGGAGACAACTCACAAGAGGCAAACGGAGGGAACGTCTGTGACATGTAGTCTGAGAACGTCTCAGGATCTCGAGTGAACGGATAAGATTTGAAGCCGTACTGAATAAATCGTCCCTGTAAGACAAAGTCAAAGTAGTTCATTGCAAAGACATCAACTAGGAGCGCCACGATGTTGACGGTTAAGTACTTCCAGTAGAGTCCGTCGTGGGTCCTCAGGTTAAAGAACAAGTACCGAGATGCTTTCTCCACCAGCTGTGCCTCTGTCTGGTCGTACCGGTGGGAATGAGCAGACAGTTCCTCGAGCAGAGTTTTACACTTCTTATTGTCAAAGTTCTTGGATATCTTCCGCGGGATGTAGTAGACGGCAGCAAGGATGAGGAAAGACCAGGATATCCATCGGTAGAAGAGTAAGTACCGCCTGCCTCCCTCGTCCTCCACGTAAGGGTATGAGAGGCAGATGTTGATGTAATCCAGACGAACTTGAGTCTCCGCGTTAAAGTGTGACACGCAGCTGATGACGTCACGGTGGTACCTGAGCATAAAAAGTCAATTAGGACTCAGTGGTAACTACCGAACACAACCCACGGACACTCGCCAAGCTCAGATACAGGGGGGAGTAATAATAATAATAATAATAATAATAATTAACGGTTTATTGAAAGAGCTTGGCAGCCAGAAGGCTGAAAATATACAGTTACATATTTGGGGAATGGGTTACGAATTACAAATAATATACAAGTAACATAAGTGACACAAATAAGACATATAATAACTAGATGGGGAAAAGCTCAAACTACAGTTCATTTCAACATAGTGACAGTGTAAGGAGCAGTGTTTACTGGGAGTGAATACACTGATTTATTACAAGTTATTGATAATCTTTACAATGGTTGGGACTGGGCTGTTGGGACTGTGTGTGTGTGTGTGTGTGTGTGTGTGTGTGTGTGTGTGTGTGTGTGTGTGTGTATTATAAGCGTTTCCTGTACCAGAAAAAAATATATATATTGATAAAATTCCACAAAATTTTTCCATCAACAAGGACGGAAGACAGAGGCTGAGGAGGAGGTCCGTCTTAGCGACAACACCGGAAGACAGAGGCGGAGGAGGAGGTCCGTCTTCGATCCGGAACACCAGAGGCGGAGGAGGAGGTCCGTCTTAGCGACAACACCGGAAGACAGAGGCGGAGGAGGAGGTCCGTCTTAGCGACAACACCGGAAGACAGAGGCGGAGGAGGAGGTCCGTCTTAGCGACAACACCGGAAGACAGAGGCGGAGGAGGAGGTCCGTCTTAGCGACAACACCGGAAGACAGAGGCGGAGGAGGAGGTCCGTCTTAGCGACAACACATCACTAGTTATCGACGGAGACACTGAATAGCTTCCCTATCATGTAATTCCTTAAATAGATTTAATGAGGTGAATTAACAAGTAGCTCATTATAAATAATTATAATGAGTTACTTCAGAACGTAAGTCATTGATAGTTATATTACTTTACTCTGTTAGAACGTATTACTGCGCTTCAACACACAAGTCTTCAAATGCGTATTAAAAATTAATAAAAAAAGCACTAGTCATTAATAATTAAAACACTGGACAACAAAGATTTTGCTACTGGTGTGTAAAAACATATGTTCTAGACTAAAATAATCAAGTATGCTGATTCTGAATCTAAACTCAGAATTTTCCAAGCACATCAGGATTTTAAGTTATACATATGATCAAATTACAGTGGGCTGCCTAGCACCAACCCAGCATGACTGGATTAATAGCTCGATATTAAAGGTTTTAAATGTAATGTAAACCTTTTAAGAATGCATCTAGTTTGGAATTTATTTCATGCTAATAAATATATATATCTTGTCAGGGTATAACCTAATATTTTTTCTGTGTATTTTCAGGGTAGGCCTATGTTACTACAGGCATCATGAATAGGCGAGGTTGTGTGAATCACCCTGATAACTTTTGCCATATCTGTGGAAAATACGCTCCAGGTGATCAGCGCAACAACCTTGCCAACAGAGTGAAAACTACTTACACGTATTATTTGGATGTAAAGTTGGAGACCGAGACAAGAGCTGGGCACCTCATATGTGCTGCACTGTGTGTAATTCGGGGCTTACGCAGTGGTTGAGTGGCAAAGGGAAGGGAATGCCTTTTGCTGTGCCATTGGTATGGCGTGAGCCAACGAATCATCACTCTGACTGCTTATTTTGTTTGACAAATATTGCTGGATTCTCAAAGAAAGACAAGTAAAAATTTGTATATCCAGAATGTAAGTCTGCTCTGAGGCCTGTGCCAGTTCCCCCAGCAGCTGCTGCAGTTGAAAGTGATGACAATTCTGATGATGATGATGAGTGTAATGATGCTGATATGGATCAACTGTATGAACCTGAATCTGAGGAAAAGAAGCCACACTTGCTAAATCAAGAAGAGTTGAACGATCTGGTGAGAGACCTGTCATTGTCAAAGGAGAAGGCAGAAGTGTTGGGCTCCAGACTACAGCAATGGAACCTGCTACAGGAAGTTACCAAAATTTCCCTCATCCGTGATCGCCACATAAACTTAGCTGCCTTTTTAAAGGTAGAAAATTATGTTTGTTTCTGTACTGATGTTAATGGCCTCTTGCATGAGCTACGAAACAAACATGTGCCTGATGAATGGAGACTCTTCATAGACTCCAGCAAAGTGAGCCTCAAAGCTGTGTTGTTACAGAGGCAACAAAAAGCCTTCTGTTCCTGTAGCTCACGCTGTCGGCGTGAAGGAGACGGATGAGTCGATGGAAATCCTTCTGAAAGTGATTTATTACTCAGCTCATAAGTGGAACATTTGCGGTGATTTAAAGGTTATTTCTCTCCTCCTAGGACTACAGCTGGGGTACACAAAACATGTGCTTCTTGTGCCTATGGAACAGCCGTGACGACAACAATCATTATGTCGTAGAAGACTGGCCTGAGACACAGTTGGCAGGTACAATGTGCAGCATAGCCATTGGTAGACCTTCAGAATATCTACCTTCCACCGCTTCACATCAAACTCGGCCTAATGAAAAACTTTGCAAAGGCAATGGATCATGACGGCAATGGTTTCCAGTATCTCAGAGAGAAGTTTGGCGCAGGGAAGACTGGTGCTAAACTCAAAGCAGGCATTTTTGTTGGGCCCCAGATCCGAGAACTGATGTGTGATCGCGAGTTCAAAAATAAACTGAACCCACTTGAGTCTGCAGCACGGGAAGCATTTGTGTTGGTTGTGCAGAACTTTCCTGTGAACCATAGAGCTGAACAGTGTGCTGAATTAGTGGACAATATGCTAAAGGCCTATCAGCGAATGGGCTGTAGGATGTCCCTTAAAATGCACTTCTTGTATTCTCTTCTTGATTTCTTTCCACCTAATCTGGGTGAGGTAAGCGATGAGCATGGTGAAAGGTTCCACCAAGACATGTCGGTGATGGAAACTAGGTATGAAAGCCGGTTCAACCCAAACATGATGGGTGATTACTGCTGGTTCCTACAACGGGAGACCATTACCACACACAAACGCAAGAGTCTCACACACTTTTGAACACTTCCGAGCCGTGCCGATGCTGAATATATTGAAATTAGTTTAGCATGTTTTAATGTTTTTATTGGGGTCTTTTTCTGTAACTCGTTTATGTTCTTGAGTTTTATACTACGCTTTATAAACGTGGAGCTCAATCATTGTTATCTAAATATGATGTGAAGGTAATTACTCAGCACTGTTGTTAGATGTACATTGTGGCAATATACGATCAAAATGTGTCTAATATAGAATGGCGGGTATCATTAATACATATACATAACTTGAAAACCAGACGTGATGGCTGAATTCTGACTTTAGATTTGTAATCAGCGGCCCAGATTTGCTCAAGAACACCTGCATTTCCCTTAGTAGCAGACAACTATATTTTCGTTGTTGCCCGAGTGAAATCAAGAGATATTAAAGAAGTGAGTCTAAATTTAACTAATTTTCTGTGAATTAACTGAATTTGATCACTAGGTATCTCATTGTAATCAGCTCAGACAGTCACCAAAACACCGTGGCTGGTTTCATTAGGCCAGCGACCCTCACTGTCTAACTACTCTAGATACTGTATCGCCAGTGTATCGGGGAGATATGGCGTGACATTTTCAAGTCCTGGCAGTCTGTTAGGGTGTATATGGTGTATCCAGGATAATGATAAAGGAACATAATGAGTCTTTGTTGATCTCATTGTCAACATTGTAAATAGGAATTGGTAACTGGAAGTAATTTTGTTTCAGTGTTGGTAACATTGCTCAAGTAATTAATTGGATTTTCTACTTTTGTCTACCGTAAATAATGGTGTAGGTCGTGTTAAGCGTACGGTCAATGGTGGTGGGGGTCGGCGCCACCTAACCTAACCTAACCTAACCTAACCTAACCTAACCTAACCTAACCTAACCTAACCTAACCTAACCCTGACCACGAAGCTTTGAGAGGTCTAAGTTATATATAAAAAACAAAATACGTGAACTATTAGGTTACCACAGTAAACAAATAAACAAGATAAGACATCTACCTACACAAGCAGAGAGAGAGAGAGAGAGAGAGAGAGAGAGAGAGAGTACAGACATTTGTAATAAAAGGATTTACTCATATAGAAATTCCACAACTGTAATAACACACGAGGTACGGCATCTATGGTGGTCATCTGAGGTACTTGGGAGAGCTTACCATGAATACCAGGTGGTGAAGAAGCCTCCCAGCAGAAGACAGAAGGTCCAGCGGTAATGCATCCTGAGAACCAGTCCATCACACGAGGCAGCACACACCTGGTTAGCTTTACTCTTGACAGCGTTGATGACAGTGCTCACCAGGTTACGGATGTCTAGCCCGCTCGGCATCTTGGCTTATGGAGTAGGTGGAGAGACGAGGTTTTTGAGCGGTTCAGTTGACAGAGGTAAGAGACGGTGATGGCTCTTAGTGAAGCCGTACTTAGATTAAGGTAAACATTAGGCACCCCAGTTTATTTCATTAGATAATTAAGCACCTAACGCTAACTTAATCTAACCTAACGCTAATGTAACCTAATCTAACATAATTTAAACTAACGTAACCTGATGTAACTTAATCTAACCTAACGCTAATGTAACCTAATCTAACATAATTTAAACTAACGTAACCTAATCTAACTTAATTTAAACTAACGCTAACGTAACCTAATCTAACATAATTTAAACTAACGTAACCTATTCTAACATAATTTAAACTAACGTAACCTATTCTAACTTAATTTAAACTAACGTAACCTAAATTAACCCTAACCAAACACGATCTAAATTAACGTAACGTAACCTAACCTAAAGACATAATAAGTATGGCTCCGTTACCAGTTAGTATGGGAAGGGAAGTGGACAAAACCTTTCTATTGTATTATAGTGTGATGATGTTTGACGTGCACACCTGTACACACCAACACCAAGGGGCCCTTACACTGCCCCCCTAAATGTGCTGGGCTGAGGTTAAGTCTTTCCTTAGTCTCCCAGAGCACAAGCCCACCTAGTCTTTCTCTCATTCCTCCTCCTCACACTTACACTAGCCACGACTCTGGTACAAATTTTGAGTGTGAGGCAGGTGTTTGTTTTGTCAACTTTCTTTCTTTCTTTCTTTCTTTCTTTCTTTCTTTCTTTCTCCTCCAACATGAATGCACTGTGGGGGTCGATCCGAATGTCCATACTTAAAAAAAATATTACGTTTGAATAATATAATTTCATCACCACAAATATTAAACCCAAATTTTACTGATCAAACGACCTTCATCATCCACAATGTGACACAAAGCAGGTCAGGTTAGGTTAGGTTAGGTTAGGTTAGGTTAGGTAATTTACTACCACTGGCAGCAGCTGAGTTACTCCTGGACCTGTATTACCAACACCACAACGTCTCCCTCAGAAGGCTGGGGAACACTGACGCGCCAGCAGCCTCCAACTTGTAATCCGATTTTCTTATCTCGGTTAATTTACTCTCTTGTTATCGCCTTATGATGGATAACTTATGGCTGGGGATAAACTGTTAACTTATGTAACTATAACTTACAGTCAACCACTAGAGATGGGCCAAAAAAACTGATACATTAAACGCTGTAAAGTGGAAAAGAAATGTTACTTTAACACTGACTGTATAAGATATTAAGTGATATAGCAAACAGAATGAAGATATAAACCCCTATTTTTATTTAATATGATGATTAAGCACCCTAACACTACCTGGAGGAGGGTTAGGTTAGGTTAGGGTGTTTAACTATCAGGTGAAACAAGCTGGGTGCCTAAACTTTATGTGATCAGCAGACCCTGGCCACCTGACAACGGAACCCATACAGCAGACCCTGGCCACCTGACAACGGAACCCATACAGCAGACCCTGGCCACCTGACAACGGAACCCATACAGCAGACCCTGGCCACCTGACAACGGAACCCATACAGCAGACCCTGGCCACCTGACAACGGAAACCATACAGCAGACCCTGGCCACTTGACAACGGAAACCATACAGCAGACCCTGGCTACCTGACAGCAGAACCCCATACAGCAGACCCTGGCCACCCTGACAACGGAACTCATACAGCAGACCCTGTGCACAACAGCGGAGACATACAGCAGACCCTGGCACTGACAGCAAGTGGGTGTAACACATTCAGACCCTGGCCACCTGACAACGGAACCCATACAGCAGACCCTGGCCATCCCGACAGCAAGGAACCCCTACAGCAGACCCTGGCCACCGACAACGGAGAACCCATACAGCAGACCCTGGCCACCTGACAACGGAACCCATGTACAGACCCTGGCCGCACAGCAGCGGAACCCGCATGGCAGACAGCAGCCACCTGACAACGGAACCCATACAGCAGACCTGACACACCTGACAACGGAACCCATACAGCAGACCTTGGCCACCTGACAACGGAACCCATACCACAGCAGACCCACAGCCACCTGACAACGGAACCCATACAGCAGACCTTGGCCACCTGACAACGGAACCCCATACAGCAGACCCTGGCCACCTGACAACGGAACCCATACAGCAGACCCTGGCCACCTGACAACGGAACCCATACAGCAGACCCTGGCCACCTGACAACGGAACCCATACAGCAGACCCTGGCCACCTGACAACGGAACCCATACAGCAGACCCTGGCCACCTGACAGCAGATTTATGTACAGCAGACCCTGGCCACCTGACAACGGAACCCATACAGCAGACCCTGGCCACCTGACAACGGAACCCATACAGCAGACCCTGGCCACCTGACAACGGAACCCATACAGCAGACCCTGGCCACCTGACAACGGAACCCATACAGCAGACCCTGGCCACCTGACAACGGAACCCATACACAGGTTAAGAGTTTCTAAATGAGTTTCACGGTGAATGTAGTGAAGTGGGACGATAGTTTATATATTACGGCTGTTGCTTCTTCTGCTGTTTTAGAAGACAAATTAGATGATCAGATGAAGGGCAAACTTGTTGATCATTAGAGAAAAAACTATCAGGGAATCAATTTCTAATATAATCTCTCTCTTAAACGAGTTATAATAAAAGACCTGAGGTGTTTAGACGCAGTAAATCATCGTAATAGTATTTGATATGTTAAACTGCTGTAGTGTTTAGCCGACCGGATAGATTAGAATGAGAAACGTTCACTCAATGATAACCTCGTCCCCCTGTCAACAAGACCTGTGTGCTGGGACCTTGAATGATGAAACTCGTAGTGAATGTTATGGCTGGTGGTGCTTCCTGACCAGTTTTACTCTCCCGTGGGTTGAGTGCTGTTGTGGTGGTGCTCCCTGACCAGTTTTACTCTCCCGTGGGTTGAGTGCTGTTGTAACCCGTCACCCCACCACTCCTTAGTGTACATCCTTCTCTCACTGTAAGATGTAGTGGGGAATTACTTTACGAACACTATAGTTTTTATATCAGTGTTGTGTTCTGTTGTCTAAGGACGAGAGAGAATCTTTTTGTTTTTTATGGATATGTGGTTTGTTTTTCTCTCTGGATGAAATATAAACAGACAGTGAAGGAAGCTTGAGGTGCTGATGTCTCTCGTGTGTGTACTCCTCGCCCTAAAGGTCATGATAAACGAAAACCAAAAAGAAAGTGTTCCAATCTTGTTTTTACCCGGCTGCTGGATACAGTGGATATAATGTAGTGTTAAGTGCCCCTCCCCCCGCCTCTCTATTACGAAGGTGAGACCAGGTGCTTGCAGGCTGGAGGTGTCAGTACCATCTGTCTGTCGTGTCTGGATGTTTGTCGACAACACAACTCGGAAACGGAAACACACACCATAACCTCATCGAGCTGTTATGTTTTGTGGGGTCATAGGTCAAGGTTAAAGAAACACTGATTCATACAGACACCGTACTGGGCATTAGTTGGTCAGAGTACAGATAATTCTAATATGAGGTCACCTTGGAGACGAGCTTAGATATAACTTTTGAAATTTAGCTAAACTTCAATATAACTATCAATCTCACATAACGCCTCCAATTCTGAAACAGTCCGCAGTACGATATAGTACATTATGATAGCACACAGCAAACGCATATAAGTACAAATTTTCCTTCTGTAGTGGCACAGTTGGCACAAAACTCTGCAGGGAGAGTATGACTGTTGTCCACGTAATGAAGACTGGAGGCAATAATGTTTTAGTAGTTTATCCCACCATTCCTTTTTTTTTAAGGGATTAGCCTACCAGGGCACAGGCCAATGACCCACATCAGGGCCTGGGGCCGAACATATAATAATAGTAATAATAATAATAATTAATAAAAATTAATACAAAATAATAAATTAAAAAAATATTAATAGAAATTTAATATAATAATAATAATAATAATAATAATAATAATAATAATAATAATAATAATAAAAATAAAGGACCATAAATAAATAAATAAATTAAAATAAAAGATTAATAGTGAGAAACAATATATGTATGTTGTGTTGTCAAAGTTAGAGAAACAATTGAGACCCTGCAATTGTGTGTAAATGAGGCAGGAAGTCAGATCAGCAACCTGGGACTTGGTCAACATATTTGTGATGCCATATGGCAGCAGGGTCTACCATTAGACAACACATTATGCTTCCAATATCTCCCAGGCGGTAGTACCTCCCTGTTTGGTAGCTGCCAACTTTTAAACCACATTTAAAATATCAGCATTAACAGATTCAGGACACACTACTAAACATGTCATGTCGGTGCACCTCTCCCCTACCCGGCGAAGAGACTCCTCCCCACGTCACGCCCCCTCACCGCCCTGCCACAGCCTCACAAATAACATGTTAGAGGTGGAATGCTTAGTTGTGAGGTTCCTGGGGCCTTTCCTGCAGTGTTACTATAATGTAAACAAACACAGATCTGCCATATCTCACAAACCGCGCCAACCACTATGGCTCAGTCCCGAAGAGGTAACCAGTCAGAGAGTTCCTTCCCTCCGAGAAGTGAACACAAGACTGGGGAAGGACGGAGCTCCAGCCAGTTTTTAGCACGAGAGAAATTGTTTACTGAATCTACTGTGAAGTTTAGTTGTTTTGAGACGGTGAGGGAAGAGTAAGTGGAGACTGATTACAAGTCGTGAAACTACTGTATGGTTTCCAGTGTGGACAAAACAACACTTATTTCTTCCCAGGGCAGCCAGGTGAATCTGTTGACCTTTGTGGCGTATTTTAAGTGACCATATTACTGTCCATGTTTTCACAGGCGTATATATATATAGTACTCCAGTTATGGTTGGTGTCATTTGATTTCAGGGAATCCATCTTTACAATAATACAAAGTGACGAAACATTATGGAAAGAAAAAAGCCACATCTTGTCAAAGGCGTTGGCTATATTGAAACAAACTTGATATTTTCTCGTAGTATTCAAGTATTTTTCTTTATATTACGTAAATTAACTCGTCCTGGTCACGTTTACCTGTTTTTGAAAATGTTCGTATGTGTGGTAATTAATTTATACTTTAATATTCCCCCATTTGTTTTTATTTACTGCTTGTGTTGATAATGTTAACCCCTGCCTGGCTCGCTCGCTCGCTTCTGTTACCACACAACAACAAAAAAATCACTTTCTTTCCGTAATTTTTTTTATATATTTCACATTATACCGAGACTTAATAAATAGCTTAAAAATGAGATAACGTTAAAGGATGACTAAGAAAAAATAAATAAATGGAAAGATAATTAAATGGGAAAATATTACAATAGAAGCAGTCGGCAACACAGGAGAGACATCAACGGCTGGGGCACCGTCAAACCTCACTCCCCTGACCAGAAAGGCAACAGTACTTCAGACACGGTGACGGACGAGCAGTGATGTACAGTTGGTCGTGAGTCTGTCCCAGAGGGTGACGTAAGAAATCCTACACGTAAAAAATTCCTTGAAGAGACACTGATCAGTCGGTGATAAAGTAACAGTGTCTACGTGACTCAACACAGCGACTGGTTAATTGGTTGTATAGCACAGGTAAGTTGCATGGACCAAAAAATAATATTGTAAGTTGAAGTAAATTGTAACTGATGTTTCTGTGTCAACGTTAAAAAAAAAAAATGAACGCGTAACTTTGCTAACTAACAAGAGAATTTATGTATTCACGACTTTTGTTGACCATCTGTATTTAATTACTGGGTAAAAAGTCACGTTTTTTCCCAATTTTCCCCATTTGGTATGAGATATTATTTTTTCTAGTGTATTTTGGTGTTTTTAAATTGACCTGTCCATACCTTACCTTACCCAACCTAACCTAACCCCAAAAGATTGCTAGTGATAATGACAAAAAACCCAGAAACAATCCGAAATACCTATTGGGACAAACACGAATAATATCCAGTTACTATCACTTTTTATTCCTAAGAAAGTTACAAACAGGACGGTGGACACGATAAATAGATTGACACATGTTAGTAGTTATAGGTCGACTGAACGCTACAGGAAGTTTAAACAATAGAGCTTAAGGACAACAACACCTACGTTAGTTGAGCATTTTACTGACGGTTGTCTATGTCACTGTACTCAAGAGGTCGATATCGTACTCAAGGATCGATATCGTACTCAAGGATCTATATCGTACTCATGGGTTAATATCGTACTCAAGGGTCGATATCGTACTCATGGGTTAATATCGTACTCAAGGGTCGATATCGTACTCAAGGATCTATATCGTACTCATGGGTTGATATCGTACTCATGGGTTAATAATCGTACTCAAGGGGTGAAATTTAGTTTTCTCCTTTCTTCTTTTATTATCCATTTCTTCATGTTCGTGCATCTTGCTAAAAAATATAAACAAACATATATTTCCTATCAAAACATAATTATGTATCCAGAACGGTCCAGTCACCCACAAAACTCCCGTCCACATTCCTCTTGAACCACGAACCCCAAGATTCATGACTCGTGAATCCGAACCATTTATGGTCAGAATAAAGCACGTGTCTACTGGTTCGGGTTCACGAGTCTGAATCTCGGGGTTCGTGTTTCAAGAGGAATGTGGACGGGAGTTTTGTGGGTGACTGTATTATATAACATTAAAATACTCTTGTCACAATGTAAAGAGTTCCTTCAGTAAGAAAAGTGAGTAGACGTGAGGATTAACATGATAGGGTTATCTAGTAGACGTGAGGTTAACATGATAGGGTTATCTAGTAGACGTGAGGTTAACATGATAGTTATTTCAGTATTATTAGCGTATCTCACTTCTTCATAGGTATGTTGTTTATATATCATGTATACACGCAATCACGCAGCCCGATCATGGTACAACCGGTGTCACGTGATGAGGTTATATTGGGAATGCACACTTCGATCAGTACCTAACCATACCGTTCCTAACCCAACCTAACCTAACCTAACCAATTCTAACCAAACCTAACCTAACCTAACCTAACCAAATCTAACCAAACCTAACCTAACCTAACCAAATCTAACCAAACCAAACTTACTATTTAACTACGAGGGATAATCACAAAAAGTCATCTTCAGCTTTCAATGATGTTTTGATCGTACTGCGCACGCCACACCGGATGTAATTTCGACCCACTGTAGTTTGGTATTGAGTTTAGGCCACTAGTTCCTTCCTTCTTGCTGGTCACATCCGTTCCTCGGCCCCAAAACAACCAAATTATAACACCTGTATAAACCCCTGTCCCTAATCCACCTCGTTTCCTCAGGTCATGGCCTACTAATGACAGCCAGAATGGGGGGTAAACATGATGGTTCTCTAGCGAAGATAAGGTTGGCGTGATAGTTCTTTTATAAAAGTTAAAACTAACAATACAATTGACACGGATGAAATTAACAAAGCAGTGAAGTGTATAGGTACGACGGTCAATTAGGTACAGCGGTCAATTAGGTACAGCGGTCAATTAGGTACAGCGGTCAATTAGGTACAGTGGTCAATTAGGTACAGCGGTCAATTAGGCACAGTGGTCAATTAGGTACAGTGAATACAGGACAATACAGCGGAGTGATCTGTAGTCTTGGTATACTTTTCCCTTGGTGACTATCATTTCACCTATTCCGGATAATTCAAGGTTGTGAAGCCGTGTTGTGACAAGGCGGGTGACGTTAACTTTCACCACCACTGCTACGGGTCCATGGGTAAGTCTTCACAAGAGGGAGTGGGTCATCTGTGTGTGTGTGAGGGAGTTGTGTGAGGGAGTTGTTGTACATTGGCTTTTCCTCTTCCTCCTCCCTGTCTTCAGGTGTCCTACAAGACGTGGTGTTGGAGTGTGTGGCCATATATCTGGCCACACACTTTACATTTAATTTAGTTCACATACGCTTGAGGGGCAGGCTGTTTTAGTCGAGCGGTTACAACATGTTTTACTCGATACGTCTCATTATGGTAAACGGTGGATTGACTAGTGTCTCTTTTCACTTGTCTACTGGCTTCAAATTCACCAATAAGTTCCTAACAGATAACAGTTGGTAGGTTGTATTCAACAGTGTCATTGTTAGACACAAGTTTAGCTAAGACAGCATTATCATGTTCACTGAGGTCTATGTAAGAGGAGATCCACTGTAGCTTGAACCTAACTCCCTCGATAATAAGGTCTCCCATATTTATGTCTGCTTTCAACGCCAAGTGTGACGTTCGTGGCATGGTGGTGGCTGTGTATTCTATCCATTAACATCACAAGTTGTGTCGCCTGAAGGTCCTCTTTTGTTATTAGCTAACCTCACATGTGATGTTTGTAATGAGGATAACTTTTGTCCTATATACGTGTACTATATAACACCATACAGTGCTGTGTTTCCTCGTATATATGTGACAACTAACACACACCAGACACTCCATAATAATATCTAATTGTGGCAAATTCTAAACTGTGTTAACGCTTATTTTTACCATCTAATGCATCACAAAAACTTCACATCGACATTGTATAGTTAAGAGACTCAGCTGAGGTTTATATGTGATATGTCAGGTATAACATTGCAGGTGTGAAGTTCAGGGTGTTAGAAAAGTTCCCCAAATATTAGGTATGGTCAAAGTAAAAGTTGGAAGTGGACGCCATCCCCAAGCAGACCAAGTACAGCACACAAAAATGTAGACACAACAAGGAATCAATCTTAGCATTAATTATTACATGCACCCAGGGAGTTGTCTCACATCCTATATTTCATATCTACAAACTTCTCCGAGACACTGTCTCAGTCTTGCCTACCTGTTATGCATCACTCATGACTAACACGACCCACATATGCAGTATTGCAGACATTTGTGCTGACTTGGACCACCTCCTGTGAAACACTGTTATTGTCACGTGATGAAATGGTATAACCAATTGAGATTTATTTCATAGTTATTACGTCCGTTTTATTGGAGATGGACATTTAGTATCAAATTTAATAAAATAAAAGGACTCGGTGTATGACTATGTCCGTATGTCTATTGTAGTGATATAATTATTGCTTGGTAAACCTATATTAGTGGCTACAGGTTCATTATCACTTAACCCATCATTAGAGAATAAGAACTGAGGGCAATAGACAGGTAATATCTACATAAACAATACCTAACCAAAACAAAGTTAACTAAATCTATAAATACAGACAAGTGTGATAATGTATTGGTAAATATAAGGTATGTAGTGTTACCTGGTGATGGTGATGTGTTAAACAGACAAATAAAATCAACATACGAGAACACTAAAGAACAACGTCACTAGTGGAGTTCCCCAAGGCTCAGTACTTGGACCATTATTATTTATTAGAATACATAAACGACATAGATATCGGCATAGACAGCAACATAAGCAAATTTGCTGATGACACTAAAATAGGACGTGTAATTAAATCTGACGAGGACTCCGCAAAACTACAGGAAGATCTAAACAAATTTTTCGAATGATCGGAAAAATGGCGGATGAAATTCAACGTGGACAAATGTAAAGTACTCAGTATAGGAGATGTAAACAGGGAAACCAGATACCAGATGAACAACGATGCCATAGAGAAATCCGACTGCGAGAGAGATTTAGGAGTAATGATAAGTAGGAACCTTAAGCCAAGTAAACAATGTGTTTTTGCTCGTAACAAGGCTAATAAAGTACTTGGGTTCATACAAAGGAGTGTTAGTTACAAGACTAGCGAGGTCATCCTAAAACTGTATCTTGCTCTTGTGAGACCACACCTGGATTACACAGTTCAGTTCTGGTCACCGTATTACAGAATGGATATAGAATCCTTGGAAAGAATTCAGAGGAGAATGACAAGACTAATCCCGGGCATTAGGAACCTTGAGTATAGAGACAGGTTAAAGCATCTTAATTTGCACTCCCTCGAGAGACGTAGAGCGAGGGGCGACCTGATAGAGGTGTACAAGTGGAAGGCAGGGCTAAACAAAGGAGACATTACAAAGGTACTCAAACTATCCAACCAGGAGCGAACTCGTAACAATGGTTTTAAATTAGACAAATTTAAATTTCGGCGTGAAATAGGTAAACACTGGTTTGGAAACAGAGTAGTGGATGAATGGAACAAGTTACCAAATATCATCATTAACTCGAATACTCTGAATAGCTTCAAACATAGGTTGGATGCTTGTATGAGCAATAGGGGTTGGGTGTAAACGGGACTGCCCAGTATGGGCCAATAGGCCCGCTGCAGTTTCCTCCATTCTTATGTTCTTATGTTCTTATGTTCACTGTATGTTCCTTCACCTTTCTCTAATGAAGGCTTTTGTTAAACCACCAATGTATGTAATAAGTCATTTATTTCCAATGTATGTTTTCGGCCTTCGGGCTGCAGACCTTTTTCAATAAACCGTTAATTATTATTACTCAACCTGACGAAACACGATGTTACTGATTCTGTGAATAATATCATAACTATTTTTGATTTCAGGCACGAAACTTCCACAATAATGGACGACAAAATGAAAACTGGTCACGATCCTCCTCAGATGACATCATCATCACCACCAACACCAACATCATCACCACCACCAACAAAACCACCAACACCACCACCACTAACACCTACAACCATCGTTAAGTCACCCGCCATCACCAGTACCATGAATAACGTGGTGGAAAGCTCTCCTAAAGACCTTCCTGACGACGCTGTTTACCTGAGGAAGGAGTTGGGACTATTGGAAGCTGTCGCCATCATCGTGGGTAGTATCATTGGGGCTGGCATCTTCATATCTCCTAAGGGCGTGCTTGAGTATGCAGGCAGCGTGGGCATGTCGCTGGTGGTGTGGGCCAGTTGTGGGATGGTGACTACCGTTGGGGCCCTATGTTTTGCTGAGCTGGGTAAGTCTAACAGCTGTACAAAATAACGGGTAAGAATTGAGAAAAGTTTCGTAACGTGATTGCTAGATTTATGAAATACTGTAAATATCTTTTTGTGATGCGAGTAAAAGGTATGGTGAATATGTTTCCATTGCCTAGAAAAATATAGTTGTTGGGCAGGATAAGATTAGATTAGGTTTACTTATAATACATTCCAGATCCCTAAATAATTCCTAGACACTAAACATTACATCAGTCAGTAACCTATGGATGTGTTGGGTAAATGCAGCTTACCGTTACAGAAAGACATGTCAGTGCCTGATCCACACACTTGGTGTTTGTTTTAATTGAAGTGTTGAGTGTCCACCACCACGCAGTAGGCAGCTATCAAACAGGGAGGTACTACCGCCTGGAAAGATATTGGAAGCATAATGTGTTGTCTAATGGTAAACATTGTAATAATAATAATTAATAATTAACGGTTTATTAAAAAACATGGCAGCCCGAAGGCTGAAAATATACAACGAACAGAGATGACAAGTTACATATGGTGAAATCGGGGAGTGGGTCACTTGATTGACAAAAGCTTTCGATACAGAAACATAAGAAACATAGTCAACATATAGATTAACTTTAGATCTGGTACTGTGGGAGCTGGTACTGTGGGAGCTGGTACTGTGGGAGCTGGTCTGTAGACATTCTTGTGACCTGATGTTGGCGTCAACAGTCCATCCCACTGCCTGGTTGATGATCTGACTTTCTGCCTCATTTACACACAATTGCAGGGTCTCAACTGTTTTTATTAATTGTACAACACAACATACATACTGTGTATTGTGTTTCACTCTTGATTTTTTCAATTTTGTATTTCTTTATTATTGTTATTATTATTATTATTATTATTATTATTATTATTATTATTATTATTATTATTATTATTATTATTATTATTATTATTATTATTCTTGTCAGGAAGCTCTCTGAAGCTACTAACAGTACTGGAATATGAACAGTGAGTTTGTTGTGCTAAACGTCTCGGACATGCTTCCAGTCTTACCCACACTTGATCCACCACTTTCTCCGGTCTAACAACACTTGGCTGGCACATGCGTTTACCTTTCATGCAGCTGTTTCTCTGAACTGTTTCACTTGTTTCCATATCACTGAATTCGAAGGTTGCGTACGACCACCCAAAGTGACTTTTAAATGCATTCTTGATGTAATGTTCGACGAGAAACACGCCTTCTTGCCCTGCAGTGACCATGGCGTGACTCAGTGATACCTCTCATGTCACGTTGTTCTGTAAATTTAGGCTTCTTGAATAAAACTTACCCTATATAACTAACCTCTTGTGTGTGTGTATACAGGTACAATGATCCCTGAGAGTGGAGGGATGTACAGTTACCTACTGGAGGCGTTCGGGCCAGCTCCGGCCTTCCTCTACTTCTGGGTATCGGTGGTGGTCAAGAACAGTGCAGGAGCGGCAGTGGTGGCGGTCATCTTCGCCAGCTACCTCCTCCAAGCCCTCTTCCCGGACTGTGGGGCTCCTCTTGACATCCCCACGAAGCTCCTCGCTGCAGTATTAATATGCGAGTGACAGATTCACAGTTGTTTTACAGCATATACCAGTATATCTGTACAGTATATATGTACAGTTTGCCTATATTTATTGTTATACCCATTCATACATTAAACTCAAATTACTCGTTTAATTGTTCATTTATGAATTTGTCAAAATATTTTTTATTTTTTTATTTATCTAATACATTTTGTGGTCAGGTGTATCAAACAAAAAATAACTGTAAATAAATGTAAATTAGTAAATAACTGTAAATAAATGTAAATTAGTAAATAACTGTAAATAAATGTAAATTAGTAAATAACTGTAAATTCCTCGTAAATATAGACGAGACGCAATAGTTTGGCATCTTACATTTGTATGTAAATTACAGGTAGATACACCAGTAATTAAGTATTGTTTACCTTTACAATGTACTGGTCGTCACAGTACAGGTAGCTTGTCATCCCCTCCCAGGTGACTGACAGGAAACAAGTCATTTGTTAGTAGATGTTACCTAAGCGTCGTGCACTGAGAGTTAACCCCGTTATAGTAGCTGTTAAAGCGAAATGGAGAAAATGAAGAATTATAAAGAAATTAGAGAGGAAAAAGAGGACAATAAATGATAACGTGATACACTTTTGTAGTATTATGAAGAAATAGATTAAAGTAGTTATTTCAACCTCTTATTATGCTTTGTGAGACTAGATTAAGTTATATTAAGTTTAGTTAGGTTAAGTTAGGCTGGGTTAGATTAGGTTAGGTCAAGATAAACACCATTAATAAGAAGAGCCAATCTCCCCGGCAGGTTTTCTCTCGTGGCTTAACTGCGTCAGGGTAAAATGGGTGACGAAGGTGCAGAACGTGTTTACCGTGACCAAGGTACTGGCTCTCGTCCTCATCATAGTGATGGGCGTCTACCACCTGGCCAGAGGGAACGTCCAGAACTACCTTCACCCCATGGAAGGAACCAACTGGGCAGCTCCAGCCATCTCTGCTGCCTTCTACCAGAGTCTCTTTGCTTACGGTGGCTGGTAAGAGTAGGTTAGGTTAGGTTTGGGTGGGGTAGGTTAGGTTTGGTTGGGTAAGGTTAGGTTAAGTTGGGTAAGGTTAGGTTAGGTTGAGTAAGGTTATATGGAGTTAGGTGAGGTTTGGCTAGGTTAAATTAGTTTAGGTTAGGTTAGGTTAGGTTAGGTTAGGTTGAGTAAGGTTATATGGAGTTAGGTGAGGTTTGGCTAGGTTAAATTAGTTTAGGTTATGTGAAGTTATGTTAGATTAGACTAGATTAGTTTGTGAGGTCAGGAGGTCAAAGCCTAACATACAACCTGGGGAAAACACACAGTGGCCAAGGGAGGGGGGAAATGACGCCTTGTTCCAGTGTAGTTGTATGTCATATTGATAGAGTTTGTCATGCCTGAACCCGGCCAGAGAGAGAGTTTATAACTTATTGATAATTGGGTGTGTCTGTACCATGTATGTATTCAAGGCAGTCATGTTATATGTAGAGGGACTGACATGTACAGAGTGGCAGGGTGGATGGATGGAGAGGAGGGAGGGAGGGAGGGAGGGAGAGGAAGGCAGGGATGGATGGTGAAGGAGATAGGAAGGGAGGAAGGCATGGATGGAGAGAAGGAGTAAGGGAAGGAATAAGGAAATGAAGGAAGGAGTAAGGAAAAGAAGAGAAGGAAAGGAGGGGAATGTAAGCTTACATGTTCATAAAAACAAGAGATTTGATAAATATGACACAGTAACATTAATAAACTCTTCCTATACTAATTATCAAATTCCTAATGGTAGTAATAAAACTAATGAATATACCTGCCCGAAATATTATTATTATTATCATCATCATTTTTCTTTAAAGGGAAAATATGTACAACGTTGTGGAGGAACTCAGGAATCCATCTCGGTAAGTACGATCCATTGACTTCCTTACTGAGGAGTAGTAAATGATTCATAAGTGTATCAGTTTGACTTAGGTACGTTAGGTATATCGTTAACTAGTATCGTGTTATTGTCTCTCTTCTTCAGGAACCTCCCACTGGCCATCATTTTCTCCACTACTCTGGTTACGGTCGTGTACACACTCGCTAACATCGCTTACCTGGCTGTACTTACACCTGCTGAAATACTGTCCTCTAATGCTGTGGCCATGGTAGGTGCTGTGACTATGTTAGGTGCTGTGGCCATGGTAGGTGCTGTGACTATGTTAGGTGCCGTGGCCATGGTAGGTGCTGTGACTATGTTAGGTGATGTGAATATGGTAGGTACTGTGGCCATGGTAGGTGCTGTGGCCATGATAGGTGATGTGAATATGGTAGTCGGAGTTTCCTAGAGCACTTGTCGAAAATCAATATATCGTTCTGTCTCTCTTTCTCTCTACTGTATGTACGTGTATGAATGTATGTACTGTATTTCCCCACAGACGTTCGCCACCCGTTCCCTAGGCGTGATGGCATGGGTGATTCCAGTGTTCGTGCTGTGTTCCACCTTCGGTAACTCGAATGGGGCGATGTACACACAATCTCGCCTCATCTTCGTCGGGGCGAGGCGAGGGCAGTTCCCTGAGGCCTTCTCTCTCGTTCACGCCACCAACTTCACGCCCATTCCCTCAGTGGTGCTCAACGTTAGTACTTAGACTAGTGGAGGTTCTGTTAATGTTAGTTGAACGAGTGTTGTGTCTAGGGCCCCTGTGTTCAATTCAAGAAAGAACATATTAAAGAAAGACTTGTTCTACTTGATTACGTCTCCATTGTGTGTTGCAAGTGATTAAGTATTATTTACTGAGTGTTGTGTCACTTAACTAAGTATTGTATAGGTTATTATATCAATTTTAATAACACTGTATTGTAAAAAGTATTGTCTATTATCCAGGTAATACATCCAGTACACTGTGTTGCAGGGTGTGTTGTGTGTAGTGATGTTGTTTACCTCGGACGTGATGTTACTCATCAACTACTCCACCTTCGCCATGACCCTCACACAGTGTGGGTGTATGTGCGCTCTCTTCCAGTTCCGGTACAAACAACCTGACAGACCGCGGCCCTTCAAGGTAAGACGTCATTAGTGTAAGTTATGTATACACAGCATATACACCTGCGTGATATATATACCTTCCTCTGACAGGTGTGGAGTCATGTTATACACACCTACATAACACATCTTCTGACAGGTGTAGTAGTCATATCATACACCTGCCTGACACACCATCCTCCTGCAGGTGTGGTTGGGACTACCGATAGTCTACATGATAGTTACAGTGTTCCTGCTGGTGCTGCCGATAATCGAGACGCCGGTGGAGGTGGGAGCGTCGTTAGCTATGGTGGCCACCGGCTTACCAGTCTACTACTTCACCATCTACAGGAAGGACATTGCCCAGAAGTTCTCCAGACCTTTACGTGAGTTAATTACAGATGACCCTCCCTTACAGGTGACCCTCCTTCCCTCACCCCTTTGCCCTCAGTACAATTAATATCTAACTGTAACATTTAACTGTATCAAGAGTTGTGTAGGAACGACTGTAACCGACTGAACGATCTTTACGTATTTTTCTAAACATTTCACCCGACTTAACAACGATCAGCCTACAAGAACAAAAACATAGAAGAAAAAATATTTACTTTCATAAGGTTTGGTTTGTATTTACCGTATTGTTGGTAGTGTAATGTTAATATGTAATGAAAGAAACACACACACACACCTACAGTAGTTACCCCAGCGTTGTAACCAAAGAAAATGGAACTCATATTTTTAGGGATGGTCTTAAGAGTAAAATTGTACCACACTATTACCATACGAACTGACTTTTATCTTAGTTGTTTTAGTGATTGTGCTTAATATATACGACTACCTTTAACTCTCCTCGTGTCTCTGAAAGCCTTATCGTCCACCCAAGGTCATAGAGTTAAGGCTCATCGGTAGGTAGTAGGCAGGGTCTCAATTGTTTCTCTTACTATTGAGAACACAACATACATATTTTGTTTCTCACTTTTGATCTTTTTTTCATTTGTGTATTTCTTTATGGTTCTTTAATATTATTACTATTACATTTTCGCCCCCCAGGCGCTGGTGTGGGCTTGTGACCTGTGCTCAGGTGGGCTAATCCCCTTAAAAAAAAAAAGATCTTCTGGTATCGTGTTCCATGTTTTTGTTTTTCTCTCCAACATCATGCAGTGTTTGTGTTTGGAACCTTCTACCCAGCGTCGTGTCTTTTCATAGGTGTTTCTTAATCTACTGTATATAAATTTGGGAGAGTTTTTCTTTTGAACTGTTGTTGTTATTATGTACTGTACGATATTTGTTAACGTTGGGAAGGTGAAATAACCTGTGTGTGGGGGGGGCTAATCTTCAGGTGATTAGTAGTATCGTAGGCCATCTTTAAAATACCTGACTATAATGTTTACAAGAGACTGATGAAGGTATCGTACTTTTCAGAAAAACTGACGTACTGTTTCCAGCTGCTGTTCCTCGGACTACCTGAGGAGAAGGTGGAGTGAGGCAAGACTGTTTTACAAGTTACTAATGGTCATGATAAGAGCTAACCTGAAAACCTTAAGGATTCATATTACGCTCAAACGTCCACAAAACCTTCCGAGTCCTCCAGTGGAAACGTCCCCCGTTTTCTCTGTTTCCCCCGCCTTTGTCTATGGGAGCAGACGCTGTATGCTGGGACCTGTTGCCATCCATTCCTTTGTAATCAATTTAATTTTGCTTTCGATAGCTGAGTCAGAGCATTGTTAGTGAAGATAATAGTAGAGAATGAAAATGAGTTCATAGTCTCAATTTCAACGTCAGAGGGTACCGTAAATTAATTCATTGGAATAGGAGTAGCTGGACTCCCTGGCCTAGTTTGAGTGAGGGCGCCGCGGGCATTTTAACCGTTAGTAAGTGCCCGTCCCTTCATCCATACAGGTATGCCATTCCACGCTGTGTTGTAATTTGCCCTTCTTTAAGTGATTTGACCCAATTGATAGTTGATTGTGCAAGTGTTACAGTAACGTAGTTGATATGCTCTGAGTAAAGTCATATTTACGTCTTTAACGTCCCCTGAAACGTGATGTTGTTGTCACCGGTTAGTAAGTGCCCGTCCCTTCATCCATACAGGTCCCTAACGCAGCCTAGGCCGTGTCTGTAGGGTGGATGTTGTATCCACTATGTCTGGGGACATGTCCGAGGTCCAGTAGGATCAGTTACCTTCGTGAGACCCGGCCGTCAGACACTTCAGACCACCTATAGCCCCCATAGCTGGCTCGTCTGGCCCTAACGCTCGGTCCACGAGGTGACCCCGGACCACCAAGCCACACACCACTACCAGCCCCCATCATTGGTGGATGAGTGTCTACCTCAGTAGGGCTATATTTGTGTGGTGGAATTAACCCACTGGGATCTCCAGAGTTCGTCGGATAGTACTCCATGGTGGCTGGACCCCATGGCTGTTGCTTGAGTATCACTCCTGACGACTGAGTGTTGTAGTGGCAGTTGCCTAGTATTTATGGTGCTAAGTGACTATCATAGTTGTGCTATTGAGTATGTCCACCCAGTAGGGTTGGAAGGGTATTGAATATGTCCACCCAGTAATGGTGTGAGTATGTTGAGCCTGAGGGCCTAGTAATAGATTTCGTCTGTTAGTACAAACCAATTTTTTCTTCTAATTTCATATTCATGTTTAAATAAACTTTGTATTTGTATAATTGTGTATATTATTTACCTACAGTATTTACCGTTATTTCTTCCCTATTGCTTGATACTATCATTACACCTACCCACGAGCCTCCTATCGTCACGCTACCAATGGTGATATATAAGAGTAACAGGAATTGTTACTGGCACACAGGCCCTCATGAATGGTGGCAGTAGCAGCCCTCATAAATGGTGGCAGCTCAAGCCCTCATAAATGGTGGCAGCGGTGGGATGTAATGAACATAGTATCGAGTTGGGAGGAATGACTGTGATACTGTAGTTTAACTGAGTTATAACCATTTCTCTGTACGGGTATTTAATAACCATTCCACTGTAACTAATGAGTATTTCAGATTGCTAATAATTTTGTTCCATATTTTTCCGAGGTACAGCTTTTTGTGGTGGTTTGCAGAGAAAGTGAAATAAGTTCAAAGAAATACCTTGGAGTTAGGTTAGAAAAGTCTTGTTTAAAGTAAAAGGAAACCTGCAACAATAACTTGTAGAGTGTGAATAAGGTTCATTAATATTGGAAGAATTTTGATATGTAACAATCTGCCCAAAATTTTTTTTCCGTTGTTAACTCAGTATTACTTACAGACAGTGAATACATGTTTGGGCCGTGGCACTAGTTGTGAAATGTTCCATCGTGGGAGTGCCCAGTGTTTTAATTCTGAGTGCTAACAGAAGCAGTGCACTATATGCAAAGGTTAAGTGGATGCTAATTCTATACTTGTCATATTCTTTAGTTATGTGTTAGGTAGGATATATATTCCATTTACTTAATATCTCGGGGCATTTTACAGTTCCTACTATTAATATTCCTATGTATACGCTATAATTTTAAAGTTATTTTAACCAGGTGCTAACGGGTCATTATTTTGTGTAACGTATGTTATGTGAACTCTAATGCCAGTATACTTTCAGAATACAGTATTATATATGTGAGGACCTTATGGTGATACGGTATATGGAAAATGTTATACAAGTGTATGGACCCAGAATTGTGAGTACGGAAATTCGTGAAGTGTTCACGCAGTGTTGCACCATACTGAGTCTGTGAATGGCAAAGTGTCTAAGTGAATTTTTGATGCCATAATAGTATCTTTGGGGAGATTAATAATCTGAACAGTAGTTTGAATAGTTGACGCATGGAGTGTTAGTCGTATTGCAGAAAATCAGTACCAGTCCTTGGGTCTTGAGTGAGCACTGTGCATGTATCGTATTTAAAGTGGGTTATAGTATTGATTTGTTGTAACACAATGGCAGATGCTAACGCAAATAAGGGGACCATGACGGCCAAAGCCGCTGTTGATTTAGCAACAAAAGTCCAAGCACTTCTGGCTAAACTCGCTAAAGCCATGGGTAAAGGAGGAGAAAACCAGTGGTTAGACTGGATCTTTAAGAAACAGTGGGCTTTGTAAGTGAACCTCCTTGGTTGTTGATGGGTAGTGAAGTGCACAATCTGTTGTAGGTAACTTTTGGTAATTGAAGAAGTGAAGAAAAAAAATGGAGGATGTTTTTTTGGGGGGTTAAAAGTATTTTGCAGAGGAAGGGTCAATTTGCAGTAAAGACAGAGATTGGAAGATGTATTGGCAGTTATGCAATCATCTGAAGGGTATCTGTTACTAGTATGAGTAAAGATACCAGTGGTGAATTCTCAAGTTCTGGTTGGTAAGTCCTACGTAGGCTGGGTGTTGTTGGTATATAGGTGTAGAGTTCGTGACTTTCAGGGAGTATTCGGGCATATAAATATGGTGCTATTACTTCTACATGGCAAATGCCATAAGTACAGACAGTTTTTGGTTTGGTGGTGTTCTCATGAGGACCGTTTCGTTAGCATTGAATTCTTGGGAATACCCGCTCGTTCGGAGTCCCTTGAAGGGTGCTGCCTCTCGCGAGTGCGACATAACTCTTAAGATTAAGGGCAACAAATCATTCCTTTGACTTGATGGGGTCCGTTCGTCTATGTCCTAGCTTGAGAAATCTATGTTAAATCTCAGTGTGTCCTGTCAGCATTTGACCAATCGCGTAAAAGAAACTTTCATAATCTATGAACATTGAAATTTGAGTTCTGTAAGGAATTTTGAGTGTGCATTTTATCTACCGATGTGAGGGTGTATTTTGTAACATGTAACACCATTTATTATTATTATTATTGGATATGAGGTATCTAACTCAAATCATTATTATTCCATGATGATGTACTTGACCCCATTTATTATTATATGATATGATGTATGTAACACCATTTATTATTATATGATATGATGTATTTACCGCCATTCAGTATTATTATGACATGATGTACCTAACCCCATGTGCTATTATTTTTGGTGCTATTTTGTAATATGTATCCCAATATATTTTTTATGAAGGTGTGTCACATTCTAATTGTATGTTAACAGATTTCCATTTCTTGTACCTAATCCTGACCACCGGTAGGGAATTATTTTTCTATTTTTATTGATATAATTTGTGCAATGTTTTGTATGAGGATTTATACTTTATATTAATGATTTAATATGCATGTCACTACTTACGTGTTTTCTGAACGTTACCGCATAATGATGAATCTTGGGGAAGGAGGAAGCTTTGTAATGGTCATGATAAGAGCTAACCTGAAAACCTTAAGGATTCATATTACGCTTAAACGTCCACAAAACCTTCCGAGTCCTCCAGTGGAAACGTCCCCCGTTTTCTCTGTTTCCCCCGCCTTTGTCTATGGGAGCAGACGCTGTATGCTGGGACCTGTTGCCATCCATTCCTTTGTAATCAATTTAATTTTGCTTTCGATAGCTGAGTCAGAGCATTGTTAGTGAAGATAATAGTAGAGAATGAAAATGAGTTCATAGTCTCAATTTCAACGTCAGAGGGTACCGTAAATTAATTCATTGGAATAGGAGTAGCTGGACTCCCTGGCCTAGTTTGAGTGAGGGCGCCGCGGGCATTTTAACCGTTAGTAAGTGCCCGTCCCTTCATCCATACAGGTATGCCATTCCACGCTGTGTTGTAATTTGCCCTTCTTTAAGTGATTTGACCCAATTGATAGTTGATTGTGCAAGTGTTACAGTAACGTAGTTGATATGCTCTGAGTAAAGTCATATTTACGTCTTTAACGTCCCCTGAAACGTGATGTTGTTGTCACCGGTTAGTAAGTGCCCGTCCCTTCATCCATACAGGTCCCTAACGCAGCCTAGGCCGTGTCTGTAGGGTGGATGTTGTATCCACTATGTCTGGGGACATGTCCGAGGTCCAGTAGGATCAGTTACCTTCGTGAGACCCGGCCGTCAGACACTTCAGACCACCTATAGCCCCCATAGCTGGCTCGTCTGGCCCTAACGCTCGGTCCACGAGGTGACCCCGGACCACCAAGCCACACACCACTACCAGCCCCCATCATTGGTGGATGAGTGTCTACCTCAGTAGGGCTATATTTGTGTGGTGGAATTAACCCACTGGGATCTCCAGAGTTCGTCGGATAGTACTCCATGGTGGCTGGACCCCATGGCTGTTGCTTGAGTATCACTCCTGACGACTGAGTGTTGTAGTGGCAGTTGCCTAGTATTTATGGTGCTAAGTGACTATCATAGTTGTGCTATTGAGTATGTCCACCCAGTAGGGTTGGAAGGGTATTGAATATGTCCACCCAGTAATGGTGTGAGTATGTTGAGCCTGAGGGCCTAGTAATAGATTTCGTCTGTTAGTACAAACCAATTTTTTCTTCTAATTTCATATTCATGTTTAAATAAACTTTGTATTTGTATAATTGTGTATATTATTTACCTACAGTATTTACCGTTATTTCTTCCCTATTGCTTGATACTATCATTACACCTACCCACGAGCCTCCTATCGTCACGCTACCAATGGTGATATATAAGAGTAACAGGAATTGTTACTGGCACACAGGCCCTCATGAATGGTGGCAGTGCAGCCCTCATAAATGGTGGCAGCTCAAGCCCTCATAACTGATATATGTATATAATATATTTCATTTAGCCAAATTAAAATATATTTTGTATGTATAGTATTGTTTTATTTGTTATGTCCTTAAGTACGGTCAAGGAGTTATGTTTTTTTTAGTTGTAGGTTTTAATAAAAGGTGTTTCAGAATGTGTAAATTTCCTTTTTTCTTTTGACTTAAGATTGGATATGATCTATGTATGTATGTATGCAATGTAATGTAATATAATATAATATAATACATACAAATAACACAAAAACGTGGTTGGAATGCGAAATAACCCCAATTTTCCTTCTACGGGGCTCGAACCTACGCACTTAAGAGATAAAAAAAAATATAAGATCTCCCAAAAATTAATTTCATTATTTTTGTGTCACTGAGTACTTTACAACCGCCTCTCTACCTTGGAATATATACAACCTGTGATGAGCCGCGCATGGAGGATCAGGGCACATACAGGAAGGCAGTGTAAAAGAAACGAAAATATAGACGTGCAAGCAAAGGGGCTGTGTGGGACTGAGAAGAAAGGGGTGTTGGGGAGAGTGGAAGAGAGTTAGGAGGAGAGAACGAGTTACAAGAGAGAGAGAAAGAAGAAGAGAGAGTTAGGAGGAGGTGGAGACGAGGAAGAGAGAGTTACGAGAAGGAGATGGATAGTGAGAGAGAGAGTGTGGGCAGGGCAGGGGAGGGGAGAGTTTAAGCTACTGAGAAGAGTCGGCGACGCGGAAGATGTAAACACTGAGGAGTATATTCAGGTGTAGGCTGTCCCTGTGTCGTAAACCCTTGGGATACACTCAAGGTATTCTTCTCTCTGTATACCACGAGAGGCAAATCCTTCAGGCTTGGGTAGGATTACAGGTGGGAACTGCCTGTAAAGGACTCTGGACTCCTACACTAGAAGGATCTCAGAGGATTTTTTCTTCTCTCATGGGACTTTATATTCATTTGTATATAAAGTTTGTCTTTTAATACTGATGTGACAGCCAGAGAGTTTTATTACATCTTAAGGTTAATTAAATCATTCAACCTAACCTAACTTAACCTACCAAACGTTAACCTAACCTCACCTCCGGAACGTTAACCTGAGCTAAGCTAAGCTAACCTTACTTAACCTTATGCTCAGGAAAACTAACCTAACCTTCAAGCTAAGCAAACCTAACCTAACTTAACCTAACCTTCCAAACGCTAACCTAACTTAACCTTGAGCAAAGAAAACCTAACCTAACCATAAGCAAACCTAACCTAACCATAAGCAAACCTAACCTAACCTTATGCTAACCAGACAGTGAAGAAAATGAATAAAGGCGAGAGTGTAAAAAATTAATAAAGACGAATCAAAGATAAATGAATAACACAAGTGACAGAGAACAAGTAATATGATATATGGACACCGTCAACATAAAACAAACACTTACCTCTAGATAAGTGAACCTCTTAATCACTGTTGGCCTCGGTCTCTTAAAAAAACGTCATGAATTCGACTCCGTGTACCCAATCAGCCCCGAGTCTCAATTCACAAGGCTTCTGTATATTATGTTTCTGTTTTAATTAATCTGAAAAGAACGTAACAATATCTAGTTAAGGTTGAGTTTTAGTATTAGACAAAGATGTTTAAAAAAATCCAAAATAAGATTTATTTTTCAGACAATTAAAAAAAAATGTGAATTATTTGAAAATTTCCTTAAAATTCTAATGGAACTTCTCCACAGAATCCCCCGACACACACACACACACACACACTCTCACACACACTCTCTCACACACACACACTCTCTCTCACACACACTCTCACTCGCACACACACACACACTCTCACACACTCACACACACTCTCACTCACACACTCACACACACTCACACACACTCTCACTCACACACACACTCACACACACTCTCACACACACTCTCACACACTCACACACACTCACTCACACACTCACACACACTCTCACACAGACACACACTCTCACACACACTCTCACTCACACACACACACACACTCACTCACACTCTCACTCACACACACACACACACACATTACCATGAGGTTTACCCCCAACAACCCTCACAATATATGACCTCACCAACAATGAAGTTTCTCCCACAATAAGTCTTCCCCCGGCGAGCTTTTTCTCTAATGATCGCCTGCACGGAATTCTCAAATGATAACCACCAAATGTCTGCGTGTTATTTTTTTTTACGTGGAGGTGGTGGGTGGATGAGGTGGTTGGTGGAGGTGATGGAAGAGGTACTGGGTGGAGAAGGAGGTATCTAGTAGCAGTTTGTGGGTGGGTAGTGGAGGTGGATAGCAGCAGTTGGGGTACACACTTAGGAATGGTGTCGTAAAAGACGTGATATATTATCTTGTGTTATATGTGAAACACTGTCGTCTGTGTGTGTGTGTCTGTGTGTGTGTCTGTGTGTCTGTGTGTGTATGTTAGGTATCCACAACTCTTCGGTCATCTCTGTGTTGACATTTATCTAACTCCTCAGTCTATTAACACCTTCAGGAGTGATCACCACCTATGTAACTCATTCATCAGCCTAGGGATCTCTCGTGTTGAGGCAGTAGGCAGTCACAGGACAATGTTGTAACACATTCAGACGTGCAGTAACCCCCCCCCCCTCCCGCCAAAGAGGTCACACTCAGAATTCAGCCACAGAAGTCATTACTCTTCTTAATGGTGGAGGGTCAGCTGCTGCTTGCAACCCAACACGGCACATCTTTTATGGCTAGTACTGAGAGAGAGAGAGAGAGAGAGAGAGAGAGAGAGAGAGAGAGACCCTTCCTTTCTTTCATAATTATTCTTAAACATTTGTTCTGAGTTACTACACAACAAACAATAATAATACTAATAATAATAATACTAACTACTACTACTACTAATATTAATAACTACTAATAATAATAGCTATACAACATTAATTTTTGTTACAAGTACAGTATATATGAAATTACTTACTGCAGGTAAATTAATGGAGGTGAGGTTTCCCTTTTAAAACTCTCTATCGTGATGCCATTAGAGCGAGAAGAAGAAGAAGAAGAAGAAGAGCTAAAAGAGGAAGAGGAGGAGGAAGAGAGGTAGAGGAGGAGAGAGAATACCATCTTCTTTAACGAGAGAGCACCAACACAGTCTTACCGGTACTAAAGTATATTGTGTGTGTGTCTTCAACGACGGTACGAGGGAAGAAGATTAAACTAATGATAAATGAGGGAATAACGAGGTACAGGACGAGGATGAGGAATAAAGTACATGGGTAAAACTTATTTCAAAAAAAATATTATATTTTACACTCACACACAAACACACACACTCTCACACACACACACACACACTCACACACACACACACACACTCACACACACACACACTCACACACACACACTATATCTATAATGGCAGGAGCATAAGTGACAATAGCCAGAACCATCCATCATATGAATTATTTGTATTACCTTTATAAATGGTGTATGAAAATAGTATTGTACAGTAAATGGAAGAATTTTCAATGCTTTGTTTTTACTTTCATACCACATATTGAACTGTAATATTTGTTATTGTTATTGAATATCAGGAGGGCGAGGGGTCAGAGGTCATTTCATAGGGGTGAGAGGTCAAATGTCAACTCGCAGAGGGGGAGAGGTCAAAAGGTCATCTTAAAGGGGGGTGTGAGGTCAAAAGTTCAACTCGTAGGGGTGAGGTCAAAAGTTCAACTCGTAGGGGGGTGTGAGGTCAAAGGTCATCTCATAGGGGTGGTGAGAGGTCAACTCATTAGGGGGGCATTGAACAAAATAAAATAAACATAGACGCTAACAATGGAGAACAGAACAGTACAACAATTATTACCATTTATTTAACCACAATATTTTACAACTTAGTGTGATTTAAAAATTTTTCCATAGCAATCAATAGAGACACACACACACACGGACATATTGCAGACTCCTTATTTTCTTATGTTCTTCTTCTTCTTGTGTTCTATTGTTCTGTTCCTCCAATTGTTTGATCCTCCATCATCTTTGACTTATCATCTTTGTCATTCTTCATCATCTGTAGTATCATCCGTAGTATCTGTAGTATCATCCGTAGTATCTGTAGTATCATCTGTAGTCTCTTATCTATTTCATCTTTCATCATCCGTGACGTTTTATACCACCCGAATCATCCCCCATCATCTGCAGTAGCTTAATATTATCAATTTTATCCATCATCATCCGAGGTGTATTTCATAAGTCTTGGTATCTTCTATCCTCTTTGAGTAGAGTAATAGACACAATCGGTGGCTGGGGGGAGGGTGTAGGTCTGAAACAGGGCGAGAGGAGACGATTAACACATTCATGACAACCACAACAACACTACTAGCTACCCTGACATATGTGACTTTATATACAACTTTAAAGTCAATCTCGTTCTTCGTCTTGTAACTCCCGTATATAAATAAACATATATAGAGTACATATTAGAAAGGGTAATGTGTGAATGATCAATAACAACAAAGTGCAGGAATTTATTAAGGTTTGGTGTTAAGAGATGACATTGAAAGGTAAAAAGTAGATACGGGTATTGGTGATTCTATTGAAAGTGGATTTAGTATTGGGGGTGTTTATGTGATGCGGATTTAGAGGAAGTTAGAGTTTAGATAGTAAAGTGACTGAGGCAATCAAACTAAATAGGTCATGGGATTAGTTTGTGGTAATTAAGAGCTAAATTATATTATCACATCTTAAGAATATAGTCAGGTTTCTCAAGGAGTTAAGCTGGTAGAGTTAGGAAGTGTTGGAGATGGCAGTCAAGATGTGTAGAGTATTGCCACTTGCATTTATCTGGTCATGGGTTAAAACCAAAACAAACCCAACACTGACCTTACTGATGTGGAACCCGGGTTGGTAATAGTCGTAAACCAGCACAGTACCTGGCTTGACTAACTCTACGTCCACTTCACGCACCACTCGGAACTCTACACACACCTCCTTGGACGACGCAAACTCCTTCACATAGAATAACACTTTACTCCCGTCCACATCAGCCCTCATAATCACGTTGGGGTTCTCATGTATGACTTGTTGGAGGTCGTCCTTCATAGGGAGGTACCCGGTCACTATGTTTACCTCTATGATGGCCAAGTTGGAGGTTCCGTCACTGAGGAGGTAAGAGGCACAGACCCTGATGTGTTTGGTGATACAGTTCTTGTCTGACGGTGTGTGGGTGATGACGTGGACTGAGAAGGCGTCACTGGGGTCTGGCTTGATGTTGTTGTAGCGGAGAACAGCCTGAGGCCAGAGGAAAACAAGATAGGAAGGGAGGAAGGGAGGACAAGTTAGTATCCGTTTGTGTAGAGTAAGGGCGTAATTTAACATATACAGTGTTTACATAGTTCCAACACAGACAACGCTAGACTCTTCCATACATTCTTTACCATTAATGAATAAAAAAAATATATTATATCCACACCAGAGTTCAATAATCTTCTAAAAATCTACATAAGATATTTATTCAATATTCGATATCAAAGTTTAGTTGAAAACGAATAAACCTGAACAATGATTTGGTAATGAGTTTGGTGATCAATTAACGCCAGACACCTGATTCAATTACGATAATATAACTGTTAAGACCACAGCAACAGATACAAGTGTCTATACCGTGATATAACTCAACTCAAATATGATGAAAGAGAATAAACAAAATGATACTAAGTTAAGAGACAAGAAGAGGCTGAGAGGTGGAGGAGGGGAGGAGCATATCATCACACGACTCACCTGGACAACAACACACGACTCACCTGGACAACAGCACACCCTTCACCTGTCACAGTATGATTAACGAAGGTGGGTATATTAGGTAACATCACCAATTGCTGTAGTAGTTTGTTGTTGTTGTTGACGACGAATTTATGATGTAGTCCATTAGCTTTCAGGATGACGGTCAGTTCCATAGACTCCCTGTAGGTGTAGGCTGAGAATCTGGCCAGTGCCTGTAGCGCCACCACGGTGTCCTGGAGGAGAGAGAGGAATAGTTTGTTTTAAAGAGAAAGATATATATTGAGAGTTAGTTCCTGGATACCACTTTCCGTCTCTCCTCGTCCTTATAACTCTAATTTAAATAAAAATAATCTTTGAATTATAATCATAGCCACATAAATTTGATACATAAAATGTTTAATTATTAGAGATAAAAAAATACTAAAGAATCGTCTTATAATACGACTAGACATAAAGAGAGCCAAATTCACCTCTTTGTTTAGCCTTTCACACAAACTTGTTAAACTAAACTTCGAAATATCCATAAATTAACATTGTACATAAGATTATTATTCATTAGACCGTAAATATTTAAGTATATTTACCTTTCTAATATAATAATACAAAGTTCAAAAGCTGGTGTGAGATGGAAGGTAGAGATTTATTTTCTCTCTGTCTATTCCACTAAACTGAGGCTTCCATTTTCTGTTCATGAGAAGCACCATAAAGAAATTCCTTCCTCAAGATTTAAATAAGATAGAATAGACATTTTGTTACGTTTTTATTAGTTGTAGCATTAAGTAGGGTGTTGTGGAACTAGTCACCTGTGTAGAGATGAAACCACCTTGTCCGTTCCTGTGTTTGGTGATCCACTTAGCTAAATTCATGGCTTGTGTGTGGAACTTACGGGGATCATGAGCCATTATTGCCAGCATCAAGTAGCCAGAACCTTCAACAGCCAGTGCAGTACCTTTCCCTACCACAGATATAAGGAAAAACTAAAGTTAGAGCCGATAAAGATTACTATTGGTGATTATGTTGTGAGTTGGGATGTGTTATGTTATGTCAATTATATCTTCGTGCATTTTGTTTCGTATAATTATAAAAAAACAACATTATAAATATTTCGAACCAAAAAGCAACGTACAGGTCAGTGAAGGGATGTCACACACTACTGTACGTCAGGGCTACCAAGTGTATCAAGCTCTTCAGTGTTTACCAAAATGAGATGTTTACTCACAGGAGATGATGCCAAGCTTAATTATGATGGCTGTCTTTTTACTCTGATAATGTTTGGGTACCTAGTGTCTTGATGGAGTCACCCACGAAAGACCCATAGCCTCTTCTGTTGCTCCACGAACCCCGGGATTCAGATTCGTGAACCCGATGTTGTAAACACTAATGCATTATTCTGTCCATCGGGTTCACGAGTCTGAATCCCGGGGTTCGTGGTTCAGGAGGAGAGGCGACAGGACTTGGTGTGGTTGTACTATGCCTGTGTAGTAAGATCCTCGCATTATTAGTAGTGAATAAAACTTACCATTGATAAAGAATTTGTCTGGGATCTTATGCTCGTTCACCATGGTCACCACGTCCTGTATAACTGCCTCAGCTTCAGGCATGTTGGCGAGGGCAAGGGCGTAGGCTTTTAGGCTCATGACGTATGGATCGTAGACCTGGTGGGAGGTGATGCAGCGGATCGCCTCCTTCACCCCAACACTAGTAAGGTCCTCTCCAGCCTCCAGCAGCGCCACCATCACGTACGCCGTCAAGGGCACCGGTGACTCACGTCCATCAACGCCGCCCTTCATCAACAGTTTATGATGAAGCTTATGTGAACGTGAAGCATCTTATTATGGAACTGGCTGACCATTAACCAGAAATACCACACCTCGTCACAAGAGGTCGCAAGAGGGTTTTAGGAGGAGGTGGGGAGAAGCTTCAGACAGACAGAGTGTTATCGTCATCACCTCCTCATACTATTATCATGATATACTCTTCAATCAATATCATAAATACAGAGTCAATCAAAAAAGAATACCCAGAATTTAATAACCAACCAATAAAAATCTGGGCATTCTTTTTCGGCCACCCTGTATATCAAACTACCTCCAGGCACTGTATAACTAGTGTGATTATAATGATAAGTATTAAGGAAATATATACACGATATTTTCACACATATAAACATCAGAGGCCAGACATAACCTCCATAATTATAATATCTCGAGACTTCTCTTCATTAACACGAATAATATTACAGTGAAATAAAAGGAACATAAGAAATATTACATTTTAGGGAAAGAATCGTCTGAGATAACGCCATTCTTACTTTCATCCCCTTATGTAAGACCTTCCCAGTGGATATAAAACAGCCGTCTTTTCCTTGTTTTGAGAGTAACCAACTTGTGGACTTAGCGAGGTCGTCTTTGTCGATCTGTGGGGGTGAGAGTGTGTACAGTACAGAGGTGGTGATCATAGCGTCCAACTTATTGCTGCCAACAAGAGATCATGTAACATATACCACTAGTATACACAGGCTTCTATCTATCTATCTATCTATCTATCTCAACCTTAAATTCTCTAATATGTCTAATAAAAGATGGTGGTTAGGTTAGGTTGTGTTGGTTGGTCATATAGAAGGATATTCAGAAAATTATGTAAACAGGGAGAGTAAAGATGGTCTAGGAAGGTGTGTGTGTGTGTGTGTGTGTGTGTGTGTGTGTGTGTGTGTGTGTGTGTGTGTGTGTGTGTGTGTGTGTACTCCCCCACCCCCCGCCAACTCACCAGAATAAAGGGTTGAGCCTGAGCGAACGATTTGACGACAAAGGCAGTAAGCCAGGTGGAGCCGGTCCTGTCAGTTTTACCAAAGGCGCTGAAGGAACCGTCAGGATGTCGGTATTGAAGTTCTCGCTGATAACCTGAAGTGAAAATATAGGAGTACTGTTTGTTGGTAATAGCCCAAGTACTGTCCTTGTAATATATATTTGTCACAGTGATGCGTTAGGTAAGGTTAGGTCAAGTTAGGTTAGGTCAGCTTAGGTCAGGTTAGGTTAAAGACGCCGATATAAGGTATATTATGAACAAGGTATCGCAGAGAAATAATTAACTCACTTTCCTGACTAAATTTAAACACTTTTTTTCCATTTAATCTTGATGTTATATAAAAAAGTTAATAATTCAGAGAAAATTATTTATAGAATAATTTACACCAGAATGATTCATCATACAGGGATTATAATACACAGAAACACAGGCTTATATCATTAGGTCCCTATGGCATGATAATTCCCCTATCTTACACACACTAAACTACCCAACCATGTCGTTTATAATGTTAGTTTACCTATAATTGCTAACTCAGAACACCTCATTATCACAGCCCTAACAATGTCACGGAGAAAGATGATAACTGATAATGATGCTTAAGACAGTAATGATGCTTAAGACAGTATTGATGTTTAAGACAGTAATGATGTTTAAGACAGTATTGATGTTTGAGACAGTATTGATGTTTAAGACAGTATTGATGTTTAAGACAGTAATGATGTTTAAGACAGTATTGATGTTTAAGACAGTAATGATGTTTAAGACAGTAATGATGTTTAAGACAGTAATGATGTTTAAGACAGCATTGATGTTTAAGACAGTAATGATGTTTAAAACAGTAATGATGTTTAAAACAGTAATGATGTTTAAGACAGTATTGATGTTTAAGACAGTATTGATGTTTAAGACAGTATTGATGTTTAAGACAGTATTGATGTTTAAGACAGTAATGATGTTTAAGACAGTATTGATGTTTAAGACAGTATTGATGTTTAAGACAGTATTGATGTTTAAGACAGAAAGACAGTATTGATGTTTAAGACAGCATTGATGTTTAAGACAATGATGTTTAAGACAGTATTGATGTTTAAGACATAATGATGTTTAAGACAGTAATGATTGATGTTTACAGTAATGATGTTTAAGACAGTAATGATGTTTAAGACAGTAATGATGTTTAAAACAGTAATGATGTTTAAAACAGTAATGATGTTTAAGACAGTATTGATGTTTAAGACAGTATTGATGTTTAAGACAGTATTGATGTTTAAGACAGTATTGATGTTTAAGACAGTAATGATGTTTAAGACAGTATTGATGTTTAAGACAGTAATGATGTTTAAGACAGTATTGATGTTTAAGACAGGATTGATGTTTAAGACAGAAATGATGTTTAAGACAGTAATGATGTTTAAGACAGTAATGATGTTTAAGACAGCATTGATGTTTAAGACAGTAATGATGTTTAAAACAGTAATGATGTTTAAAACAGTAATGATGTTTAAGACAGTATTGATGTTTAAGACAGTATTGATGTTTAAGACAGTATTGATGTTTAAGACAGTATTGATGTTTAAGACAGTAATGATGTTTAAGACAGTATTGATGTTTAAGACAGTATTGATGTTTAAGACAGTAATGATGTTTAAGACATTAATGATGTTTAAGACAGTAATGATGTTTAAGACAGTATTGATGTTTAAGACAGTATTGATGTTTAAGACAGTATTGATGTTTAAGACAGTATTGATGTTTAAGACAGTAATGATGCTTAAGACAGTAATGATGTTTAAGACAGTATTGATGTTTAAGACAGTCACCTCTCTCCATGTATGTGATAAGGTTCTTGGTCGTCTGGGGTGTGGTTTGTTTGGTTGCCGTCAGGTACTGTTGGATGTAGATATTGGGAGCGAAGTTGATCATGTTCTGTTCCCCACCACCAGTTGGCAGGCGGATTAATGACCCTAAGTTCTGTAAGATGTTATTATCATTAGTTATGTACATCACTATTAGTTATGTACACCACTATTAGTTATGTACACCACTATTGCACCACTATTAGTACCACTATTAGTTATGTACACCACTATTAGTTATGTTAGTTATGTACACCACTATTAGTTATATACACCAGCACTATCAGTAGTGTGCAAAAATCACCTTCATAAATTAATATAGTTCTAAAAACAGGTGATATGTCAATAATTATTTCTGGATGTAATTATATGACAGACAGACAGACGTTGACCTCAAGTATATAAAACAAACAAACAAGTAAATGTCGATTCTCTCTCCTCTGTACCAACTATCACACACCTATACTGACCTCGAGTGTTAGGGCGAGAAGGTCACCAATGACTGTGACCCAACCTCTGGCTGACCCCTTCACCACGCCCTCCGGTACTGTCACCTCCCACAGGTCTGGCTTCGTGCCCAGAGCCTTGTCTTCTGTGGGGAGGTTAAGTGAGGTAATATTTAATGTAAGAGGAATTTGGCAGCTCTTTTAGCGGTGATATCTGAGTAACTTTCATCTCTCTTAAGTGTTCTGACAGGTGTGTGTGTGTGTGTGTGTGTGTGTGTGTGTGTGTGTGTGTGTGTGTGTGTGTGTGTGCAGCAGCTCCAATAATAAACACAGGTTATTCTCACCTTGAGGACAGACATAGGTGGTCCAGGTGTCCTCCCTAGGGAAGCCCTCAGCCTCTACATTGATTGACTTAATCAAATAATCCCTGAGAAGAAGACAAAAGGTAATTAAATGCTCTACAGTAAGCAGTCAACATGCAATACTCTACACCTTCCTTAAACAACATATCAAATGGCACTAACTCATCAGAATCAGTTATACAGGTTAATTAACAAGTCTCTGTACACCTGTGATAATTAATAATATAATTTTTACCTGTTATATACATATAGGGTTTGTATACCTCGTTGTATTTATGGTGAATAGTGAAAAAGGTTACGGTGAATGGTGAAGAGAATAGTTTTTGATCACCCTGTATAGTGAAGTCCTTTACTTGATGGTGATGTAGTGATAAGAATCAATGATAGTAAATCAACAATCAGGTTAGGTTAGGTTTGCTTAGGATAGGTTAGGTTACGTTAGGTTTGGTTAGGTTAAGATAGGTTACGTTAGGTTTGGTTAGGTTAAGATAGGTTACGTTAGGTTTGGTTAGGTTAAGATAGGTTAGGTTTGGTTAGGTTAGGTTAGGTTATAGTCCACACCTGAATGACTCGCCAACGTCGCAGTCTACAGTCTTAATGGTGTTGTCCACATACGCCAAAACACTGATGTTGACGTCACCGATGGCCAGCGGCTTGACCTCTACAGTATGGACCACCTTCTCCTGCGCTGCTACACATGACCTGTGTTGACCCGGCGGTAGTTGTTCCTGTGTCTTGATCACCTCCAGTTGTTTACTCTTCTGTAGTATTACCGTCACCTATGGCATGAGGAGAAAGCAGTGAACCCTCCATTTAACGAACTATATAGAGATGAAAGTCCGTTATATCGAGAGTCCACTATATGTCAAACCTCCAAATAACGGATTTCATGGAGAGATAAGTTCGTTATATGAAGGCTTTACTGTATTACAATGACGAATATAGGATACCAACAGAGCACAAAAGATGACCTAAAATAATATCTATTAATATCATTGTGGGCTGTGATGGACTGGGTAGGTTAGGTTATGTTAGGTTAGGTTGGGTTACGTTAGGTCGGGTTAGGTTGGTTGGGCTAGGTTAGGTTATGGGAAGAATCTTGTCCAGGTACTTAAAAGAAGACAGTGTTACCAGAACCAAAAATGTAAAAAAATTCTGTATAAACTTCTTGATCATTGACTTTTTCTTAAGCTATAGAGTCTTAGATCATTATGGATGTTAGAGGCTTATAGTGAGAGTTGAAAAAATTGCTGTGAAAGCTATTTGGTATTTTAAAGTATTATAATTGTCGATCAAATATGAGATATTATTTCACCTTGAGGAGGAGGACTGGTGTTGTAAGACTCAGTAGAGGTGTATGGCAAAGGTCGATCAAGACTTATTAGTTTTGGCTGGTAGAGTTCAATAAGACTTTTCATGGAGTGATAGTTGGTTGACGTAGTTAAAGTTTTACCGGTAATGAGTGGTTGACGTAGTTGAAGACGGAAACTTTGACGTGGAGGACCTCGCCACGCTTGACGGAGGGCGGGAGTGTCAGGTCGATGAAGAAGGGGATGAAGGTGGTAATGGATGCCCTCTGAGACAGCCCCACGCCCTTCTTGGGATGGACACACACCGCCTTCCCCACCCACTGTGTGATGGTGTCTGGCAATGTCACTTTCTGCCTCAGGAACCCGGACGCTCTGCAAGGAACAGTATTTCCCACAGTCCTTCGGTACAACTGTAAACTAAGGAACACTTACGGAACAAGTAGCAGATCCCAGAGCCATGTCTTACGGAACAGGTAGCAGATCCCAGAGCCATGTTTCAGGCTACTTTAGGAACACTTACGGAACAATAAACAGATCCCAGAGCCATGTTTCAGGCTACTTTAGGAACACTTACGGAACAGGTAGCAGATCCCAGAGCCATGTTTCAGCTACATGGAACAATTTCTACTTTAGGAACACTAACTAGCAGATCCCAGAGCCATGTTTCAGGCTACTTTAGGAACACTTACGGAACAAGTAGCAGATCCCAGAGCCATGTCTTCGGAACAGATAGCAGATCCCAGGCCATGTTTCGAGGAACTACTTTAGGAACACTTACGACAGGTGGCAGATCCCAGAGCCATGTTTCAGCTACTTTAGGAACACTTACGGAACAAGTAGCAGATCCCAGAGCCATGTCTTACGGAACAGGTAGCAGATCCCAGAGCCATGTTTCAGGCTACTTTAGGAACACTTACGGAACAGGTAGCAGATCCCAGAGCCATGTTTCAGGCTACTTTAGGAACACTTACGGAACAATAAACAGATCCCAGAGCCATGTTTCAGGCTACTTTAGGAACACTTACGGAACAGGTAGCAGATCCCAGAGCCATGTTTCAGGGAACTCGGTCCTTGGGGCATCTGTTGGAGTTTCTTCTTCTACTTCGTCAGGCACACCGACTTTAATAAACTGGGACTCCTGTCGGTTAAGCGAAGAGGTAGGAGGTGGTGGTGGTGCCTTGGCGAATTGAACAGTTTGTTGTGGTCCCTTTGAGGTCGAGACGAACATAATTAACGTAAGATAAATACATGAATTGAAGTTTAATAGATGAGCTACTACTATTACCTCTACTACTAGTACTACTACTAATACTATTACTGTTATCTCTACTACTAGTACTACTACTAATACTACTACTATTACCTCTACTACTACTACTTTTTTTTAAACGTGGCCTCCAGCCTCCCCCAGACAGTGTGGTATATAAAACACTAGAACAAAACGCATTCCAAAGCTTAGTTAACCCACTCTAAAGCTTACTTACCCCACTCCAAAGCTTACTTACCCCATTCCAAAGCTTAGTTACCCCTTCCAAAGCTTAGTTACCCCACTCCAAAGCTTACTTACCCCTTCCAAAGCTTAGTTACCCCACTCCAAAGCTTACTTACCCCTTCCAAAGCTTACTTACCCCTCTCCATTTATTGTATAGTGGGCGGTAGGTTGGTGGCTCTGTAAACAACGACAAGAAAGAACCATAAGTCATAGTAATTCATATGATTCTATTAATGTAGCCTTGTGTGTGTGTGTGTGTGTCTGTCTGTCTGTGTGTGTGTGTCTGTGTGTGTGTGTGTGTGTGTGTGTGTGTGTGTGTGACAAAAAAGGTCACATGTAAATTGCTAGTGACGAGTCAAGATTGATAACTTTTACGTAAAGAGGGATCGTGTTTGATTGAATTATTATTATTATTATTATTATTATTATTATTATTATTATTATTATTATTATTATTATTATTATTATTATTATTATTATTATTATTATTATTATTATTATTATTATCATTATTAACTCACTTTCCTCACACGGCCTCGTCTCCAGGGTAATGTCGCTCAGCACGTAGACTCCTGTATCCTGTGGGAAGAAACGAAAGTGAGGGGTGAGGGAAGGGAGGATGTGAGGAGATAGAATGATTAGTGAAGGAAGGAAGGAAGGAAGGAAGGAAGGAATATAAAACAAGAAAAGACTAAACTAAATGAAGTAAAAACATTACATTATTTAGTACACTGGATCGTGGCTCTTCTAATGATAAGAATCTATTGATAACACTAACACCATACAGATAAAATTAGATAAAAACGTTCACTTTATGATAAGAAACTCACGTCAAACATCCGTAGGGCATCGACGTCTTTGGTTTGATAATCCAATGCCTTCGCCTCTGTCAGAAAACACAACCAAACAATAATAAAATAACCATAATACAGGTAAAAAAATAATACCTGTAATTAGCTTTAAGGTGAGATAATTAATACACTTAAGGTAATAGAATTCTTAAATCCCTCCTTCATGTATGTTATCTAGTCGACAGGTCAATATAGACAGGTGTTTGGTTGAGTAATTACAGGTACAGAGTTTAAACTTGTTATTGAGTTTTGATGTGTGTGATTTAGCTGTACTGTATACGTTATTGCGGAATATATTGAGTAAAAATCTGCAAGATGATGATGATAATGATGATGATGATGATGATGATGATGATGATGATGATGATGGTAATGATAAGGATAATGGTGATAGTGATAATAATAATGAGGATAATGAAGATAATGATAACAGTTAGTAATAATAATAATGATGAATATAATGATAATGATAATACCAACAATGATGATGATGACGCACGTAGGGCTTCATTATACCACATGGTAGATAAAAATAATCCCTCACCTCCATCATCGAGTTTGATCTTACAATAGAGGTCGTCAAGTTCCTCGTGGTTAAGTGTATCTGTGATGGTGTATGGCCTAACCACCTCAAACACTTTGTCCACAGTCAGGGTGTTCCTCTGAGGGGCCAACAACTCCACACTCCTGTCTACCACACCTGTTGAGAGAGGTAGAGTAACATGTGTACACCTGTTGAGGGGAGATATCAAGACCGAAGCATACCTGTCCACTACACCTGTCTTGGGAACATAATGCTTCCTGAACACCTGTGAGAATGTTCTGTGCTTCATCTTAAAACGAAAATAATTAAAATATCTTGAATACGAGTTACCGAGGCTACACAGAGAGTAGGGGGGTGAGACGAGGTCCACCATGGCCACCGCTCCTGGCCTGGCCACATCCGCCGTCAAGGTCAGGTTGACGCGGTTGACGAGACACTTCTCCACCTCCAGCTCCCGCGTGTCTGATACTACCTCACCGTCCTCCCGGATACACCATACCAACACCTGCAACACCATCATACACTCTCACTACACCTGCAACACAATCATACACTCTCACTACACCTGCAACACCATCATACACTCTCACTACACCTGCAACACCACCACCACACTCTCACTACACCTGCAACACCACCACCACACTCTCACTACACCTGCAACACCACCATACACTCTCACTACACCTGCAACACCACCATGCACTCTCACACCTGCAACACCATCACACACTCTCACTACACCTGCCATCATACACTCCTGCATACAACACCTGCAACACCATCAAACACTCTCACTACACCTGCAACACCATCATACACTCTCACTACACCTGCAACACCATCATACACTCTCACTACACCTGCAACACCACCATACACTCTCACTACACCTGCAACACCACCATACACTCTCACTACACCTGCAACACCACCATACACTCTCACTACACCTGCAACACCACCATACACTCTCACCACACCACCAACACCACCTACTTACCTTAACGATGGGGGAGGCGGTAGGTGGCAGAAATATAGATAGTTTGAACTCTCCTCTCTGGTAGTGAGGAGGGAGGGGCGGGAGAGGTGCCAGCAGGTGAGGGTCGGTCAGTGGCCTCTCATTAGCCACCTGTTGTGATTTAAAGTACTGGATTTTGCCCCGCGACACAACCTGGAGAGTGACAGTAACAAATTAATAAATGAAGAAATATAGAATAAACTAATAAATGAAGAACTATGGGATAAATACGTAAATGAATGAATAATATACAATAAATACGTAAATGACTGAATAATATACAATAAATACGGTGACTGAATGAATAATATACAATAAATACGTAAATGACTGAATAATATACAATAAATACGGTGACTGAATGAATAATATACAATAAATACGTAAATGACTGAATAATATACAATAAATACGGTGACTGAATGAATAATATACAATAAATACGTAAATGACTGAATAATATACAATAAATACGGTGACTGAATAATTTAGCACTGTGGTGAAATGTTTAACTCTGCCTAACACTAAAATATACGTCTTAATTTATTACTGCAATATCTCTCAAATGTTGTGTCTGATTTTAACTAACAAGGTTTTGGGTCCACTGATATCTTATGTCATTTTCCCTGTAAATTTTTTTTAATAGTATAATATTAATTAGTTGATTAAATCTTCTGTTGTGTGTGTGTGTGTGTGTGTGTGTGTGTATGTATGGTTAACACTAAAACGAAAGACCATTTTTTAGAGAGAGAGAGAGAGAGAGAGAAAGGGGGGAATAGAGAGAGATATAAAAACAAAAGAAAAACAGAAAAAAAACAGAGAGAAAGCAATTATCTTACCTGAATGGTGATATCAGATCTAGTAGTGTTGACACGAGAGTAAGCAACATACAACACGTGTTCTTGGATGGCTTCAGGAGAACACATCAGTTTACCGTCAGGTGCTCGAATAGTCAGGGAGGAATTGGTGGGTGAAAAATACCTCCTGAAGTGTATATCGTCCCTGGGGGCATTCATGTTAGTCCAGCAGGTTAGTCCTTTGAGCTGTTGAAGGTATTGAATAGTAATGAAGTTTCTTATTTACTCTGTGGAAGATGTGTGTTAAAATGTCTTATTGTTAAGGTAAAATGGTGGTGATGTCTGTTAAATTCTCTTATTGTCAAGGTAAAATGGTGGTGATATCTGTTAAATGTCTTACTGTCAGGGTAAAATGGTGGTGATGTGTGTTAAAAGGTCTTATTGTCAAGGTAAAATGGTGGTGATGTCTGTTAAATTCTCTTGTACCTTCAACTGCAATGGAAGATGATTGAACAAGACATTAACCTCAAAGACCTTTTAGAAATTTATAAAGACAATGTTATTACTATAGAAGATTAATAGAGACCCATAGAACAGAAGAGCTTTTGGGTAGAAGACAACGGGAACAACAGGAAGTATAACAGAACCCAAACAACGGAGACAAAGGAGAATATAGAAGGACCCAAACAAATAAAGGGTGGCAACAGAACCCCGACAACGGAGATAACAGTAAAATAAAAACAGAGCCCAAACAACAGATAAAGAATCCTAATCTAACGAAGGACTCACCGCTATGGACGCCTGATCACAGTGTGGGAGAGAGGCGGTGAAGGTTCCATCGTGTGTGACGGTGCGATTATAACACAACTTACCACAACACACCTCCACGGGCTCCCCTACTGCACCTGATCCATCCGGCCTCTCAGCTCGAGCCTGTGACGGGATACAGGTAAATAATAGGTAGACTTGTAAATGAGGGTTAATTACAGGTGTTAGTTGGAGAGTTGAAGTGAAGTGATTTAGTCATTAAGGGAGATATTGAAGTACAGTGATACATGAATAAATTAACAGGTAATGAAGTGTATTTTCTGATTTAATTGCATATACACCTGAAAGTTTAGTTAATTAATGCACCTTAGTGAAGAAAAAACACGGACTTACAGACCTTGAAGGTGAATGGAAGATTTGGCTTCATGTAATTGTCAAGGTAAAATGGTGGTGATGTCTGTTAAATTCTCTTATTGTCAAGGTAAAATGGTGGTGATCTTCTGTCAGGGTAAAATGGTGGTGATGTGTGTTAAAAGGTCTTATTGTCAAGGTAAAATGGTGGTGATGTCTGTTAAATTCTCTTGTACCTTCAACTGCAATGGAAGATGATTGAACAAGACATTAACCTCAAAGACCTTTTAGAAATTTATAAAGACAATGTTATTACTATAGAAGATTAATAGAGACCCATAGAACAGAAGAGCTTTTGGGTAGAAGACAACGGGAACAACAGGAAGTATAACAGAACCCAAACAACGGAGACAAAGGAGAATATAGAAGGACCCAAACAAATAAAGGGTGGCAACAGAACCCCGACAACGGAGATAACAGTAAAATAAAAACAGAGCCCAAACAACAGATAAAGAATCCTAATCTAACGAAGGACTCACCGCTATGGACGCCTGATCACAGTGTGGGAGAGAGGCGGTGAAGGTTCCATCGTGTGTGACGGTGCGATTATAACACAACTTACCACAACACACCTCCACGGGCTCCCCTACTGCACCTGATCCATCCGGCCTCTCAGCTCGAGCCTGTGACGGGATACAGGTAAATAATAGGTAGACTTGTAAATGAGGGTTAATTACAGGTGTTAGTTGGAGAGTTGAAGTGAAGTGATTTAGTCATTAAGGGAGATATTGAAGTACAGTGATACATGAATAAATTAACAGGTAATGAAGTGTATTTTCTGATTTAATTGCATATACACCTGAAAGTTTAGTTAATTAATGCACCTTAGTGAAGAAAAAACACGGACTTACAGACCTTGAAGGTGAATGGAAGATTTGGCTTCATGTAATTATCCCTAGAAAGGATCTTGAAAGTGAAGAGTCGATCATCCACTTCAGTTTTAACCTCACTGTTTATTCTGACACCTGTACCTTCCTCCTCCACGGTAGCGTTGATAGTGAGGGTATGAACATAACACTCCCCCTTGAAGAGATCCTTAGTACTCACTACTATTTCTCGGCAGCCTGAGATCTGTAGGGGACCAATACCTAAAGGGTCATTCATGTAATAAAGGTTGGTGGAGTATATGGTATTACTTCAGTGTGTTGAAGGAGGTGGTGTAAATAGTACCACCTACTTGGGCCGTGTTGAAGGTGTTGCATTTGGAGGAGCTGTTTATTCTTAGGGCTACTGTTCCCTTTACTGGCTGGCCGAATGTGTACCTGAAGGAGGAAATGTTGTTGATAGTGTAGTAGTGATGATGACACACACACACACACACACACACACACACACACACACACACACACACACACACACACACACACACACACACACACACACACACACACACACACACACACCATCACGAATTTTATACCCAATGGGAAAAAATAATTCCACTCGTGAGGACAGAAGCACAGGTTGTTGGGGGAGACTCACTTAGCACAGACGGTGAGGGTGAAGGAAGGGTTGATCTTCAGGAGGATGGGAGGTGCTATGATGGTCACCTCGAAGCGCGGTAACACATAATCCTTGACCTCTAGATGCTGGTGTTGAGTCACGTTGTTGGGCATCTTAACGTGGATGGTGTAGCGTCCCTGTGGTAATGTTAACTGTTAAATGTCTTGGTGTACCTGTGTGTTAATTTCAACATGATATTAATATTTTTTTCTTTTTTTTTCCTTTCTATTTATTTCATCGGTAATGTTCTCTCTCTCTCTCTTCCTTATCTCCTGCTTCTACTTTAGTCTTTCATATCTTATATTTTCTTCTCTGTCTATTCTCATCTTTATTTCCATACTTCTTGCATTTTTTCAGTTCGTTATTCACCTTTATCTTTCACCCTATTGCTCTTCCCCCTCATCCTCCCCTCACCCCCCCACCTCCCCCTCACCCTCCCTCACTCTACCTCCCCCTCACCCCTACCTCACCCCCTCACCCTCACCCCTACCTCCACCTCACCTCACCTCCTCTCACCCCTCACTCTCACCATCTCAGGTTCATCAACGAGGGTGAAGGACAGATGAATCAGGCCAGCAATGTTGACAACGTTCCTCCACTGGGCAATACGGGTGTTGGTAGGGGTCGTGATCCATATTTCCGGGTACTGTAAAGTCACACACGGAACATTTGTCACCCTGAGTTGAGAATTGACATGGTGATGGTGCTAATAGTGATGATGATGATGATGGAAAGGTTTATGGATATTGAGGTTAATTACAGGTAAATACAATCTAAGGTAGCTATATAGGTGGATATTTTCCTTGAGTGAGTTAGGTTTAAAAGAGAGGTCTTATAGCGCTTACAACACACATACAGACATAAAGACATACAGAGACAAAGACATACACACAGACCAACAGACACACACAGACCAACAGACACACACAGACACACACAGTACATCAGTAACACCTCACCGTCGTGTTGGAGACCTCAAGTGTAGGGCCATCTATCGTCAACACCCGAAACTGAACCATCTGTCCTGGTCTATAATGAAACTTGTCTGTCTGGATGAAAGTCTTGGATTCCCGGCTCACGATGTCAACCTTCATATGGCGGTAGATAGCTTCCCCACACAGCTGGCCAAACACGTGGAATAACACAGATCCCTCGACTTCGCCAGGTATATGCATTACTTTACATAATTCTGTTTTACCTGTACCAGAAGAACCATACCATATTAGTAACCCCCCTTTTAGATGTTGAAGGTTTGTTGCAGAATGTTGAATTACGGATGGAAAGGTTTATTTAGAAGTTATTAAGTAATGATCTATGTGATATAGCAGGTATTGTAGTGTAGTTTAGTCATGAATGTTAATATTGCTTGTGGTTGAGGTTAATGATTACTTGGAATACCTGAAGAGAGAGAGAGAGAGAGAGAGAGAGAGAGAGAGAGAGAGAGAGAGAGAGAGAGAGAGAGAGAGAGAGAGAGAGAGAGAGAGAGAGAGAGAGAGAGAGAGAGAGAGAGAGAGAGAGAGAGAGAGAGAGAGATACTCACCAGCAGGAACGGGGAAGTCCAATTTAGGAATGACCCTCAGTGCCATCTCCCCAGAGTACCTGTGTTTAGGCTTCAGTTCACTGGCCATCACCTGGATACTTCCCTGTGGGGCGTTGGTGTCATAAACCATCACACACAACTGTAGCTCCTCACCTGCCGTCCACTGGCGAGGCGTAGTGATCATATAACACCTGGGAGAGTACCAAGTTATTATGTACTCATGGTAAAACACATATAGAAACACCCATATATCTTATAGATATAATTTAAGATGAGTTTTAACTTGTATGAGAATCTAAATACACTTACAAACTCCCCCCATAGAAGCCCCTTAACACACATGTACCCCTCCCCCATAGAAGTCCCTTAACACGCTACGCCCCCCTTCTCGAGGATATGTTGGCCCCCCCAGGTAAACAAATTAAGGTATAAACATGAATTAATTTTGTCTACTCTCTCATGTCTTCACTCAGTCTTAATATAGGATGGTTGGAGACAGGACCATATATACACACAGTCTTTCTTTCTTCATTATATTTCATCTTCTTCTCTTTATCTCTCTCTCTCTCTCTCTTTCTTTGGTCTTCCTCCCCTCTCTCTCTCTCTCTCCATCTAAAGTAACTTAATAAAATTTAACCTAACCTAACCTAACCTAACCTAACCAGGAAGAATTAAGGTGTTAAATCTTAAGACAACATAATAAACGGGGGGCGCTAATCTTCAGGTGATCCACATAAATAAAAACAAACTCCCTAAAAAAATCCCCACTAACCCAAAAACCAGAATAAATTGACTTTTTAAACTTATAATCAATTTTCAGTCGTATATATATAGAGGTGAATATAAACTGCCAATAAATTATCCAAACATTCAGACAGTCAGAAAAAATTATAAGAGAAACATTTATTCTAGCGTCATGAAGTTACGTACATGGCGAAACATTTTGTCATGGGTTAATAGTTTCAAGTTGTGGGTAGGTGTAGGTGTTGACAGTATTGTACGTGCTGCTACACATAACAAGGGAGTGTTTAAAAAGAAGTGTTGTGTATAGTATATTGCTGTGTTTGTAAAATAGACTCTCTCTCTCTCTCCATGACTCAATCCATGGTTACGACACACCAAGGTTTCTACCACCAGCTTGATATAACTCTACATTTTCTTCTGCGTAACACCTTCACCTACCAAGCCCGGAGAAAACATTTACACAAATTTATTCCTCAACATTATCAAGAAAATAATCACGTAGCGCTATTTCTCATTACCTTTGAGGAATAATACATATATATGGATATTTCTCACCATCTAATCAGAGTTAATTAAGAGATATTTACACACATTATTTACACAACTTCAAGATATTATTCACAAGACAATATTTCTCATCAGATATATTAAGGAATGTAAATCTGTCTCTATTTACACATGGATGGATGTAAATGAGTTATTGAAGATATTGAAGGTATTTACACTCGTTATATTCATTTAGCTTAGGTTAGATGGAGGAATTAGTGATTGAAGGAAGAAACAGCATAAAATAAACATTATTTTTATAGGAAACTTAAACCAGAAACAATAAAAATATAATTGCAGGTTTTAGAATCTTTATAAACCAATATCTGATCATTTACGAGATATTGATAAAAAATATATAGGTGGCAATAGATCACATATATATCATAGGTATAATATAACTCTTGAGACATCACTACCCCGATTTAAATTCACGATATGTAATTAAGACTCTGAGGTAGAAGAGTTAATGATAATAAAATATTCACTAATTAATTTATGCCATTCAAAATATCTTGTTAGATTATGATATGAGAGAGAGAGAGAGAGAGAGAGACACTTATCAATACCCTTAAGTCATTAATCTTGAGTACAATGAGGTGAAAGAACCATTTTTCCCGTTAACTGACCCTTATCACTAAACTTCCTGGAAACAAGACAAAAAACACCGTTGACCTTTGACCTGACCCTCACCACACACACACTGGTCTGGTCACTTATAATCTATGAGGTTCTCAATCAAAGTTTCTTACTTATTTACTCTAAGATCCTCAGCCACACCTCTTGTTTACTCTAAGATCCTCAGCCACACCTCTTGTTTACTCTAAGATCCTCAGCCACACCTCTAGTTTACTCTAAGATCCTCAGCCACACCTCTAGTTTACTCTAAGATCCTCAGCCACACCTCTAGTTTACTCTAAGATCCTCAGCCACACCTCTAGTTTACTCTAAGACCTCAACACCTCTAGTTTACTTAAGATCCTCAGCCACACCTCTAGTTTACTCGAAGATCCTCAGCCACACCTCTAGTTTACTCTAAGATCCTCACACCTCTGTTTACTCAAGTTCCTCAGCCACACCTCTTGTTTACTCTAAGACCCTCAGAAGCCACACCCCTTTTGGGGCTTAATACTTCTAAGACCCTCAGCCACACCTCTAGTTTACTCTAAGATCCTCAGCCACACCTCTTGTTTACTCTAAGATCCTCAGCCACACCTCTAGTTTACTCTAAGATCCTCAGCCACACCTCTAGTTTACTCTAAGATCCTCAGCCACACCTCTAGTTTACTCTAAGACCCTCAGCCACACCTCTAGTTTACTCTAAGATCCTCAGCCACACCTCTTGTTTACTCTAAGATCCTCAGCCACACCTCTAGTTTACTCTAAGACCCTCAGCCACACCATCTTGTATTCCCTCATGAGTGACGACAAAGACTCACTCTCTGATGTGCCGTCAACAGAGGTCCACTAACAGTCCCCTCCAAAACAAAACCATGTTGTTGATATACCATTGTCTCGGGAACACTCTAAATTATGTCGTGTTTCCTCAGTCGTTTACACTTGCGTTGTTACACACTCAGATGACGACAAAAAATGACGAAAATATGACGAAAAATGAAGACGAATACGAAGTCTTGGTAGGAAATAATTGGATATTTATTTTGGTGTATGAGGTCTATTTTGCTCTCTCTCTTCAATAGTTAGTATTAATCTATTGCCATTAAGAGTCTACCTAATATGTTGCGTAAATGTTGTTGAGTCTTTACCATTT